TAGAAAATTCGAAATTCGATTCGGAACGGTCAATGTTTGCTTTCGATTTTCAATTATTAATTTCGTGGAATTTGCATGCATCATTTGCCCGCCAACACAGGCACACGCAAACAAACAGATATTGTGCATATTTTGGAAAGTATTTTCATTTACCCCCACAAAAAGCTAAATAGATTAAATATTTTTCATATGCTGCTGCAGAGAAGGGGACTGCTGACTGGCAGGGGCTTCTTACTGTGTGTGTGGCAGCTAGGCAAATGTTTACCTGTTGTGCCGCAGTGTGTTGTGTTTAGATATTTACACAATTAATTGCGTACAGTCCGGAGCTGTTGCTGTGACTGTGGATGTGGCTGTGGCAAAAGGTGCCGTAATTTCGGCACAAGGTCATCTTAGTTTTGCATGCGAATCAGGCGGGAACTGGCTGGCGGGGTGTTATTTGCCTTTTAATCGGTGCATTGGCCATGACAGCTCGCTGCTATGACACTCGCTACTATAACACTCGCTGATATAGCACTCGCTGCTACAACACTCTCTGCTATGACACTGACGGGCGGGGTATTATTTGCTTTTGAAGGGGTAAATTGACCACGACAGCTCGCTGCTATAACACTCGCTGCTATGACACTCGCTACTATAACACTCACTGATATAGCACTCGCTGCTACAACACTCTCTGCTATGACACTGACCGTCGGGGTGTTATTTGCCTTATAATCGGTAAATAGGCCATGACAGCTCGCTATTATAACACTCGCTGCTATGGCACTCGCTGCTGGGGCACTCGCAGCTACAACACTCTCTGCTTTGACACTGACCGTCGGGGTGTTATTTGCTTTTGAAGGGGTACATTGACCACGACAGCTCGCTGTTATAACACTCGCTTCTATAACTCTCGCTGATATAGCATTCGCTGCTACAACACTCTCTGCTATGACACTGACCGTCTGGGTGTTATTTGCCTTATAATCGGTGAATAGGCCATGTCAGCTCGCTGTTATAACACTCGCTGCTACACGCACTCACAGCTACAACACGTTCCGCTATGACACTGACGGGCGGGGTGTTATTTGCTTTTGAAGGGGTGCATTGACCACGACAGCTCGCTGCCATAACACTCGCTGTTATGAAACTCGCTACTATAACTCTCGCTGATATAGCACTCGCTGCTACAACACTCTCTGCTATGACACTGACCGTCGGGGTGTTATTTGCTTTGGAAGGGGTGCATTGACCACGACAGCTCGCTGCTATAACACTCGCTGCTATGACACTCACTACTATAACACTCGCTCCCATAACACTCGCTGCTATGACACTCACTACTATAACTCTCGCTGATATAGCACTCGCTGCTACAACACTCTCTGCTTTGACACTGACCGGCGATTTCTTATTTACCTTTTAATGGGTGCATTGGCCATGACGGCTCGCTGCTATAACACTCGCCCGTTCTCAGCTTTGGCTGACAATTAAATCATTCATTAAAAACATATAAAAAAAAATTGAAATGATTTGTTAATCACAAATTAGCAGAGCAATTGCCGATCATAATATACCCTGTATGCGCAAACCAAAAACAAGCATATCTGTTTTCACGTCCTGCTGCAGCGACAGATTCACGGATTCACAGCAGAAAGCATTTCATACACTCATCTGTATAAGTCCAACGATCGAAGAGCCTCAAGTAGCTAAAGCTCGCGAATAAAATGTGTTTATGTTCCAATTAACTGCAAATTTGTTATGCTTTTTATTATTCTATATGCCACTTGGTTATAAACTGGTTAAAATTAATTATATATAGCTAAATTATGTATAAAATACAAATACTTCTAATTAACTTGAAGACGTGAGAATTTTATCATATGTATTGCGTTAAAGTTCTGAGAAATTCTTTAAGAATGAATATGAAGGGAACTGAAATGGAATGCGTGCGAAGCTGGGCAACAGGGTATCTGCCAGTCGGGCACACGTCTTTGCTAAATTTCCTTCTGATCTTTCGCCATGAATATTTCAACATAATGCCAATAATTTTGTACAGGGCTTTTAGCAGTCGTGCATGCCGCTTAGTGAGTGCAACTAACTAGACAAACAATATTTGTGCTTGTTATTAGCGCTAATTGCTGCTCACCAAGCCGCAATCCAAAGCCGTTCACTAGCCACGCCCCCCTCAATGCAAGTGGAATAGCTACAAAGACAACAAAAAAAAAAACACACGAGCTAGCTGGGCACAAGGTTCAAGGGTCAGCCAGTTGTATCTGACGTCAGTGTCTATAAACGCAACTATTAAAGACGAAGAAAATCTGTTGCATAAGCAACAATAAAGAGAAGCTATTTTCGGCTTGCCGAAGCCTAAATACCCTTTTTATCGGTTCGCATATAGCATATGATAAGTTAGTCCGATTTGAAAAATATTTTTTGAAAATGCTGCTGTATAATAATAGTAGTCCGATATTGCAAAGATTTTGTCTATAAGTAAGGATCATGCAGAAATTCGCAAATGCCAAATTGGGTAAAGAAACTACAAACCACAAACTACAAACTACAAACTAAAAACTACAAACTACAAACTACAAACTACAAACTACAAACTACAAACTACAAACTACAAACTACAAACTACAAACTACAAACTACAAACTACAAACTACAAACTACAAACTACAAACTACAAACTACAAACTACAAACTACAAACTACAAACTACAAACTACAAACGACAAACGACAAACTGCAGACTACAAACTACAAACTACAAACTACAAACTACAAACTACAAACTACAAACTACAAACTACAAACGACAAACTGCAGACTACAAACTACAATCTACAAACTACATATCCTATTTAAGCTACGATATGGCCAGGTCCTGCTGTCTGTTTCTATCGGCTCGGACCGATATATATATGTTGCCACTTTTCGTTACCAAATTATGATACCCTTCTGAAAGGTCATAAAAACCGCGAACTCGCGCGAAGGCCGTAACTTTATGGGCCCATAATACTATGAGGTAGTATTTGTAATTGCCCATAAAATTTCATTCAACTAACGACGACCGCCTCTAAAACCAACTTGAGATTGACGACGAGCCAAGCAAGAAACACGTTCTTTTCGGGAATTATGTCGTAAATGCTCTACAGACTTATAGCCAATGCACTAACCATATATTCTTCCGATCCTAGCCTTTATGCAATGACTCCAGCTGATTATTCCCAGGGTTATATCATATAGGTATATTGTATGTAAAATGTTGGGGAGTTTGGGAGCTTATGATGAGATTAATGAAGATCAGGTTAAGTTTCAACAAAAGTTGTTTAATATATGAATTAAATTATTGACCGATCAGAGTTATATAGAGATATAATTTTAATAAGAATACCGATTTATCATTTAATATGGGGCTAAGCTAAGCTATCTTCAAAAACAAAAGTTGTTCATGGAAAAACTCGAACCAATAGTTCCCATCTTCTACAGAGATCTTCTGATCATTCATATATATAGGCTTTAGCTTTTGTTATTAACAAATAAATAAGTCAAGATCTGATCGAATGCCGCTTTGTCATATTCTCCAGATCTTCCTCTATATGTTCTATTTATTTATATATTGTTTACTCTCTTGGGCCTATGGAATGCACTTGCACTTACTGTAGTTACTCGAATTGCTCAACTATTCGAAGTATTTTTATTTAAAGCATTTCTTGCCCAGAAGAACTAAAAACTCATGCTCATGATCGTAAACGCTTTATAGAGCACGTTGAACCTCAGGCCTAATAAAGGCCCAGATTCAAATAGATACGAGTACTATTATTATTATTTTTTCTCTTCTCTTTTTTGTTTTACACACAGTTAAATAAATAAAGAATGAATACAAAAAAGAGGTGTACTTCGTTTACTCGCACATGAATAACATAATCATCTGATCATCAAGAACCACTTTTTAAGTGGCCACTTGAGCTGCCCGGCATTTTGTGATTGTCTGTCCCTTGTGGGTCTGAGTTCTCAAGTGGCCGAATGAATGTGTAGTCCGTGCAGCTTGACTAGATAATTGTAATGGGTACAAAATACTTATCATATTGTCCTTTCAGGCAATGAGCATTGCGCCAAATAACTCTATCAATGAAGATATGCCTAATAAACTGGATGTGTACTATATTTTTTAACAGAATTCTTTTAAACTGAACTTATTTTAAGAATTCCTTTTCATTTTTTCGATTTTCTGTATGCCTAATAAGTCGAACTCTGATTCGTTTCGCATAATATTGAAGCATTGTTTGTTTTCTATATTTTTGTATTGTCAACATTCTTTAGAACTATATTTTATATTTTATAATTATATTCAATATATTCTCGAACAGTTATCGAACGAAATTCGAGCTTTCTATTTTTTGAAGAACTGTTTCGGTTCAGTTCACAGCTTGGAAAATTGGAATTCCTGCTTCGAACCGGTTCACATCTTTCAAAATTGGAATTCCCAGCTCGAACCGGTTCACAGCTTTCAAAATTAGAATTCCCGCTTCGAACCGGTACGCAGCTTGGAAAACTGGGATTCCCGCTTCAAACCGGTTCGATTAAAAGTGTCTTTTTGAGGAACTATTTTGCTACCGTTCACAGCATTCTCAGCTCGAACCGGTTCGATTCAAACGCGGCTTGTAATTGAGCTGTGCTGTTTTTTGAGGAACCGTTTTGTTTCGGTTCACAGCTTTCAAAATTGGAATTCCCAGTTCGAACCGGTTTGTTTCGGTTCACAGCTTTCAAAATTGGAATTCCCAGTTCGAACCGGTTCGATTCAAAAGTCGTTTCGGATTAAGTTTTGATGTTTTTTTTAAAGAACTGTTTTGGTTCGGTTCACAGCTTTGAAAATTGGTTCGTTTCAAAAATTAAATTAAAATTGGAATTCCTAGCCCGAACCGGTTCAAATGAAAAGCGGTTTGCAAATACGGTTAGTGTTCGTAGACATTTTCTAATCAAAAGTCTGTTTTGTCTGTTTTTATTTTTGTCAGGTAAAAAATGTGCTCCGCCCGCGGTATTACTCCTCGGAGTTGGGCATACGTGAGAAGATTTTTATTGGTGTGATGACGTCACAGGAGAACATCAACAGCTATGCGACCGCCTTCAATCGGACCACCGCCCATCTGGTGAACAAGATCAAGTTCTTCATCAACGCAGACAGCGCAAAGACCAACTATCAGCTGAAGAACATCGTGGGCTTTACCGACACGCGCGAAAGCCGCCGACCATTCTATGTGATCAAATATATTGCGGATAATTATCTGGACGACTATGATTACTTTCTGCTGGTGCCGGACAATGTCTATGTGGATGCGCGTAAGCTGACTGCGCTGCTCTATCACATGAGCATCACCTTTGACCTGTATATGGGCGGCACGCGTGTTGGACTGGGCGAATCCAGTGATGCGCCTCCCTCTGCTGGCAATGCTGCTGGCGATGAATCCTTGAATGATTCTGATGCTGCCGGTCTCAGTGATCGCAACTATTGTGCCCTGGAGGCGGGCATACTGCTTAGCAGCAGCGTCATCCGCAAGATGCGCAACAATCTGGATCGCTGTGTACGCATTGGCATTACGAATGATCACAGTGTCAATATTGGGCGCTGTGTCAAGTATGCGAGTCGTGTGGCTGGCTGTCAAGAGAGTTTTCAGGTGAGCAACAGCAACATTAAATTTCGATACTTACGAGTTGAACGTGATAGATACATACATATGTATGTGTACATTAGCGTTTAGCATGTAGCATTGGAACGTGTGGAATTGGAACAAGTGTAAAGTTCATTTACACCAGCAATTAGCAGGCAGCTTAACAGACTTAACAAATTAACATTTGTCGCTTGCCGTCTGGCAGCAGCTGTTAACAGTTTTAGAAGCACTGCTGTCTGCAGCAACCAGCATATAGAGCATACGCACAAACAAACGTTGCTGTGCATACATACGTAGTGCTTGCATGTGTGTGTGCTTGTGCGAGTTAATTTGCCGTTTGCTTGTCGTGTGATCTTTTCTGCTTCCTACACGCCGTTTTATTTATTTAAACAATTTGCCTTTGACTAAAAAGACGCACAAAGAGAGCGAGAGAGGGAGAGACAGAACAAGGAAAACACACACGCAAGCAGAATGCCAGAAAAGAACATAAAAACAAAAAATCAGTTCATTGATACACAAAAGTGACCCTGAAAAGAGCATCAGCGTTGGCTGCGGCAGCGGCAGCGGCAGCGGCAGAGCGAAATGTGATGCGGAAAGCGGAGAGTACAAATGAGAAAAAGAAAGACAGAATGAAAAAAAAAAAGGAACAAAACAGAAGTAAAGCAACTTCAAAGTCTTCGTGTGCTGTTAAACGTTTTAGAGCTGTTTGCCGGCTTGTGGCAGGCATTCAGCGGACATGCCACCAGCAGCAGCACCACTTGATGGACAGTTTATTTAATTTCCAAGCAACGGCAACGGTCCGAAGAATTTTTTTGAAACGGGTATGTGTGTGTGTGTGTGTGTGTGTGTGTGTGTGGAGAAAGGTTAGGAGTGGGCAATAATAAGGCGAGGTGCCGCTGGCGATCCACAGTCAATTGGAAGTGCACTCGACAAACAGTTTGACAAGCGCTGGCGCTGTTGTGCTTAGCTTTATTGCGCTGGGTGGCATCTGCATGTTTGCGTTAATTAAACTAGTTGCTATTTATTTATATCAGCAGGGAATCGCATTTTGCACACGCTATTTACCAGGAAATTTTATTTCCTATTTTTTCTTTTTGGTATTTTACATACATGTTTGTATGTGTGTGTGTGTGTGTGCATAAAACGAAGCGCAGGGCCAAGAACTTGACGCACGTCTTTCACTTGAATTTCGTTTGTTTGGATTTTGGGTTTATTTATGCGGCTGGCAGGCACCGTGGAATGATTTATGAACATGCATATGTATGTATGTTATTTATACACACGTGTGTGTATGTGTGCTCGTGTTGATTTCTGTTTTCATTTCAATTTTAAACTGTAATTTATTAACTGTATTTTATGCTCTTCAAATTAAGAGAGTTTTACGAGCCATTCCGCAAGTGGATATCAGCTTACAGGGTATACTTTGGGCGAGTGCATTACTCAAATGCGCGCTCTCATTTAACTGTTATTTCTGTTTAGCAGCATCTTCAAAAGTGCCGTTACAGTCGCTTGCTGCAATTGCCATCTCTGACACTTTTTAAACATATTGCCATTTAAATTGATTAATGTGAGCCGGCAAATTAACTAGTCGCATTTGCAGCGAAAAAAAAGAACCCCCTCCCCGCAGAAATGTTTTATGTTTTATGGCGCGCTGCTGTTTGTTGCAAATGTCAGAGACGCCCCAATAGGATATGCCGGATGCCTCCTCTAAACAAACTCGCATCCAGCGATTGCCGTCGCCAACTGTTAGCATGGCACTGTTAATTTAATTATGCTAACCCCCACCCCTCTCCCCCACACCTCTTGGTGACTGGAAATGCGAATGGGAAGGGAAACGGGAATGGGAAGGGAAACGGAAATTGCGGGAATGCTTAATGAGATCGTAAATGCGACACGCCGATAAAGGAAGTTTATTGTTTTGTGATCTGTGAAACACATGTTCATAACTGTATCGTGGATTCTGGTTTGGGTCCGGGTCAGCTCGCTTTTTTTTTGTAGATTTTAATTTCATGGAACATTTGACGGCGCCGTTCTAACTAATTTTTTATTTTTAATTGTTTAGGGTATGCGCCAGTACAGCTATGCCTTGAACACAAAGGCGCGCCACTATAAGGATCTCAGCATACTGGCCAAGGAGCCGGCATTTCGCAATGCTACCACAGTTTATCCCGTGCAGACGCCGGAGGATTTCTATCGCCTGCACGCCTACTATTCCAAGGTAAGTACTCGATGTAAATCAAATATACATACATATATATATTCAGTGAAAACTCGTGTAACGGATAGCTGCAATTAACGGGCTTATTCCGTTAACTTTTCAAAATGTTTTGCATGCGACATGTATTCTGTATTCCGCCACCGCGTCCTGTTAATGAAGCTTTCGCATTACAGCTACTGTTGATTGCATTTTCATTGACGGGTATTAACATAGAGCTGTGAACTGTTAACTACATAGCCTGCATTTAAATGTAAAAGAAAAGGGGGAGGCAAAAAATGAAACAGAAAACTGCATAAAGAGAGCTAAAACTTAACGAAAGAACAGAAATTGGAAAAATCCTATGCTTAACCAATCATGTTGCTTACATTCGAATAAATGTTCAATAACATTGAGCTGTTAAGTGATTACTGTAAACGAAATTGCATAGACTGCGAGAAAGTGTGTTAAAGGCGGATTACAGTATAATTAATATATATAATAACTCGAAACTAACGCAAAGTTCCATAATAAAAACGAAAAAAGCAACTGCAAATTCAATTAATTATTATGTATTATTGTTTATTGTTTTACATCGCGATAACATTTGCATGTCAAGATGTATAACATGGCACTGTAAAGAGGCATTCACATGACACTGTTAAGCACTGTTTGCAGTGACCGTTAAGAGCTGTTAAAGCGATCAAAATTGAAATGTCCGTTTCCCGTTTTGCGATTACAGCATCATCTGGAGCTGGTGCAGCAGCGCGGCTATGCGCTGGAACAGAAATCGTATCGGATTGCCAACGGCAGCATCTCCAACAAAATACTCGAAATCCGTTGGCCATTGGGCGTGCCGCCGCCCAGTGCGCCAGAGACGCGCCACGATATGCTCACCTGGCAGCTGCTGAATGGAACACACAGTTTTCTGCCGAACGCCAATGCGGATCGCGCGGTAGCGCCGCTCAGCCGCATCGAGGCACTGGACTTTGCCAAGGTGCTGGACATAGCGCTGCAGTATGCCGCCCAGAAGTACCCGAAGCTGCATTACCAGGATCTGCACAGTGCCTATCGCAAATTCGATGCCACGCGCGGCATGGACTATCAACTGCATCTGAATCTGTACGAGGGTGCCACACCGAAGCGTCTGTTGCTCAAAAGCTTTGAGGTGATCAAGCCACTGGGTCGGGTCGAGGTGGTGCCATCGCCCTATGTCACGGAGAGCACACGGATTGCGATCCTGGTGCCGGCATTTGAGCATCAGGTGACCGATGCGCTCGATTTTGTGGCGCAATACGAGCGCATTTGCATGGCCAACCAGGACAATACCTTTCTGCTGCTGGTGAGTGCAATCGATTGAATACAGGGTATCAGCTAGTCGGGCACTCTTCACTGTATATATATATATGTACATATGTACATTTTCAGATATTTCTGTATCGCTTCGACTCGCCCAGCAAGGGCGACGATGATCCCTTCAAGACTCTGAAGAAGTTGGCCTTGGATTTATCCACCAAATACAAGACGGATGGCTCACGCATTGCCTGGGTATCCATACGGCTGCCGGAGCAGCTGAGTGCACCAATTAAGCCAGACGATTGGCTGCTGCACGCCTCCATGTACGGAAGCCAGCAGCTGCTCAGCCTAGCCGTTGCGGATCTGGCACTGCCCAAGCTGGGGCTCGAGTCGCTGGTGCTGCTGGCGCCGCCGGGCATGCTCTTTCGCACGGATTTCCTCAATCGTGTGCGCATGAACACCATACAGGGCTTTCAGGTCTATGCGCCCATTGGCTTTCAGCTGTATCCCTGCAACTGGGCGCATTTCTGCAAGGAGTGCGACACCTGCGACATTAGCCAGAGCAGCGGCTATTTTGATCGCCAGAATCACGATGTCATTGCCTTCTACAGTCGCGACTATGTCCAGGGTAAAAAATCTACGCTTCTTCAATCTATGCCATCAACTAATTTGGGCCTGTTTTCGGTTGCAGCTCGCAAAATTTTGGATCCCCTGGGTCTGCCCATAATGCGCAGCGATCTGGACATTGAGCAGCTGCTGCTGCAGGCGCCGCAACGTCCCGCCGGCGTCGAGAGCATCCTGGACATGTTTGTTGCCGCACAGCATACGGTGCACATATTGCGCGCCGTTGAGCCACATCTGCGTTTCGGCCTGTCTGTCCGTAGTCATTTGGCGCGCGGCGGCTCGCTGCCGCCGACGTTGCCAACGGATGGATGTGGCCGGCAGCAGTGCATCCATTTGGCGTCGCGCAAACAGATCGGTGATGCGATCATACGCTACGAGGATAAAAGTATTCTGCAAAAGTAGGGCAGCTCCAGCTGTTATACTGTTATACATTATAGAGATATCATCATCAGTTCCTTGCTAAACATACATATATATGTCTATATATATATATATTGCCAAGAGTGTGCGTGTGCGTGTGTATTAATGTGCGTGTGTGTGTGTGTGCGATTAGTTTTAAACAATTTTTGTTGGTTTTCTTCTTTTTTTTTTTTATTGTTTGTAAATGCCTTGCTTTAAAGTGAAACTTTTAATGCTCAAAATGGTAGACAAGAATTGTTATATAATTAGTGCTCAAACGGGGGAACGGGGGCTTTGTTGCGTCTGGTTGGGCGGGGTCAGTGGGTATCTGTGGGGTTGAGTGGGGGAAGGGGAAGGGGAACTTGTAGCTGCCAACTAGCTTGCTTAAGCTTAAGCATATACTATACATATATAAATAATTAGCTATATCGAAAGTAGTCTGTAGGCTGCCTAGCAAGTGTGTTGTATAACAGTTGTATAACAGTCAAACAACAGCCAACAAATTAGCCAATATTCCAGGTCCAACGTAGCTTGTCATTAGCCGCTCTCATTTAGCCAATATATATATATACATATATATATATATATATATCTATATAAATAATTTATTAATCTATAGACATAAGCATGTAATTATAACTTGCCGCAAATTCCTATATATACTATTATATTTAGTGCATAGCTAAGTGTTATACTGTGTTTGTATATATATACACACACACATATATATATATATATTTAATATTGTATATCACTTTGTTTAACAAGTGGCTGTTGAAGTAAATTCCAATCTGAACTGCAAATATGCCGGCTTTGCCAAAATTAATGTGGCCAAAATCTTGCCTCACCTCAACTGTGCAACTGTTATAATCGTGCAACATCAATATGTGCAACATTTGTAGACATTTTGCAGTTTCTAGTATTTAGGCAAATATTGTAAACTGTTATAAATATGACACTATTCCAAAAAGCACGCATGTCTACGAATATACTATTGTCTACTTGTTAACTGTTATATTGAGTTCAACTGTTAACAAACACGAGCGCTGTTATACAATTATTTATAAATATATTAAATAATATAGTAAACGCTGTCAGGCAAGTATCGCAAAAATCAATTGAGAACTGTTATATCAATTACTAGCCAGCGTGGAGATTATATTATTCGCTACGATTTCTGTTAAAAATTTAAGATGAAATAGCATGTTATACAATTTCTAACTGTTATACTGTTGAGTTCAGCTCAATTTGATATGAAAACAATAGCTGTTATAAAAAATTAAGTAACAATTACTGTTATATATGTAACAACTGTTATACAAATGCCAAGATCTAGTATACTTGATACGTTACGATTCCTGCTATTGCATGCTATTGTCACTGTTATACAAGTGCCAACTGTTATACAAAACAACAAATATATAGTATTTAGAGTTCGAATAAGTTGCCTGCCAGTTATTTGTTTCAATATGAAAACCATTTTGTACCGCATTTTGCATTTCGTTTGGCATATCATTTATTGCGTCAAGAACTTTTATTAAAGCTAAAATTAGGGCTTGAAAAATGAAATAAAATTACACTAATTTTTCCATATATATATATATATATACATACATTAATCAAGTTCGATAAACGCTCTGGAAATTTGTAATTGCTGCGTTTTCGAGAATTCATTCTAAGAGAATTACTGTCAATCGAACAGGTGAGACTTATTTCAGTCTAGCTGAACTTACTTTACCTGAACTTTCAATAATAATTAGAAGTCGAAAGAGTCATACTTGGGAAATTTGTATTACCTTGTTCAAACTTTGATTTAACTTGGATAAACGAACGTATTGGAAGACTTCAGGTTGTCTAATCCATTCTAGCTGATGGACGCAGTTAATAACAATATATATATATATATATAATAATGCTTAGTCATAGTTTTTACAATGATAAAGCCAATGCCATGATAAAGCAGTTCCATCCCGAACATGACGATGTATATACATGTATATATATATATATAATTGTTGCATAAAACAATGCTTAAATGTTGTACAATATTTCATATTTCTATATATAGATCAGTCTCAGGGCTGCAGCAGGAAACTAAGATCAGACTGGGGAGCATACTCGACGGCAGAGCCATCCCTGTGAAATGAACATGGATCAATATCAGAATGTGCATCAGGCATATGCATATGGGATCAGAACTTACGGCTTGAAGAGCTTCGCATTGCGTTCGCCCAGGAGCGTTGCCTGATCGCCCTGGACGCGCACGCTGGTGCCCTCGCGCAGCCCCAGCACGGGCCGGCCATGGTAGCTGACAAACTCGGAAATGCGTTCGTCGCGCGTCTCGCCCTTGTGCTGGCTATTCGCCTCCGTTTCCAGATAGTGCGGATTGATGTTGAACGGCACCAGGGCCAGCGCCTCAAAGCTGGGCGGCTGCAGCACGGGCATATCGTTGGTGGTGTGTATGGAGCGTGTGGCCACATTGGTGCCAGCACTGCTGCCCACATAGGTGAGGCCCTGCTGCAGCACCAGTTCGCGTATCAGCTCCACCAGCTGCAGATCGTACAGCTGCTTCAGCAGCACAAACGTATTGCCGCCGCCCACGAAGATGGCCTGTGCCTCGCGCAGCGCCCGTCCCAGATCCGTTTTCGTGTGCAGACCCTCGACAGTATAGCCCCACGGCTGCAGTGCATCGCGCACCGTGGCCGTGTACTTGTCATGATCCCGCTGGGCATACGGCACAAAGAGCACCGTTTTCACGTTCTTGCTGAAAAGGAAGCGCCTGCAATAGCATAGCAATAATGCAAATGCAAGACTTACGCCTGAAACAGATCCTCCAGCTGGGCGCGTGCATGCTCCAAAAAGCCATGCCCGTGCAGGCGCGACGATGAGAGCAACAACAAATTACGCGTTCCGCTGTTCATATTTATGTCTGTTCAAATTCCTTTAAATGTTGCCCAGGTGAGTTTTTTGTTTTTCTTTCAATATGAAATGCCAACTATTCGCTGCAACTCTGCTCTGTTACTGAGTGGATTATCGTTTGTTTCACAAGTATGTATATTTATGGCTGCAGATAAAGCCCTCATGCACGCCCCGCTCAACAGTTGAAAAGCAACAAAGAGCCGTTCCGAGTATCGATATATCGACTGTTGAGCTCGTGACTGTTATCGATAACTTTTAATGGCTTGTATTAAATGATGTACTCAATTATGTCAAATGCCGCTGTCGGAAATGAGCTGCTCGTTGAAAACTAAGTGAAGTGGACTAAAATTCCAATGTATTTCCACGGGATTTACACACGGTGGCTTAAACAATATATCGATTGCTATCGATCGCGTGCGCGATACTTTTCAACGACTCACACACTACATAACAGTAGCCGTTACATTTGAATATTTTTGCCAATAGATTAGGCATTAATCTATATATTGTCACTCTGCCCTGATTCTTCCATAATGCTAAGGTTGGTAATTATTAAAAAGCAGATTTTGTTTGGGCAGCTATTTTATAGTTTTATTCAATACGTTTTTTAAGAACTTTACAAGCCACAGTGGAAACGTTTTTCTATGCATTTGCAATTAACATGCTTGCAATTTATTCTGTTCAATTATTTTGCTTAAAATGAATTATGTATGTAAACGTATGTATGTATGTATATATCTATGTAATTGACAGCCGTGTCTCAATCCTATGTTTCAAGTAATAATTGACACTCACGCACGCACACACACACACACACGCACACACACTTGAATAATCGAAAAATGTGAAGTTTTCACGGTTCGTACAATACATACATACGTTACGTATGTGTTGTGCTTAACAATGCATATGTATTTGTGTTGTATGTATAAGTATATAGGCAGACATATGGATGCATATGTGTATATATATATGTATTGGTATATGTATGTATGCATATGTATATATTAATAAAGCATTTCTTTTCGATTTAGATTAGAATTGAATTCTAGTTAGACCCGATGCACACTTTTCCTTTGGGCCTTATCAAATATTACATTATTATAACTATAACATTTTTTTTAGTTTTTTTTTTTGTTTTTTTTTTTTGCTTCATTTTACAGTGAGTTTATATTAAGGTATATGCGTATAAGTTAATTATTAGAGAGAGAGAGAGAGAGAAAAAAAAAAAAAAAAAAACATAATTCAACAAATAATTACATACAACATTAATTAGCTATTTCACGTATATTTGTTAACAATTTACATAATTTGCTTGGCGATTTCTGATGCTAGTTGTTTTTTTTTATTTTTGTGGCATGTTGCACGTGGCACGCTGCATTAGATAAGTGGACTTTAGTGTTATATGCATGTAGAGCTAGAAGTTTAACATAGTACAGTTTGACAGCAACTGGCTGGGCTGCCAAGGCTGAGGCACAGTTTGGTTTTAGTTTCTATAGATTTTTGCTTATTGCGAAACGCATTTAGTTTCATTTGATTTCATTTTCACTTGAGCGCTGCAAATGCGACAAATTACCTTGCAGTATATATATACATACATATATGCATAGTATATATATATATATAATATAGTTGATTGTATGTATGTATGCGTGTTTGATTTGATTTCGTACTTAACCTAACAATTTGTTTCTCTTGCAGTTCTCTCGCTCCACATACATACACACACACATGCACAGTGGAAGAAAGAGACACACACACACACACACGCACACGCACACACATACAAAAATGCATGTAGAAGACGGCGGCAATTTACAGTTGTTTTGTTTTTGTTTCTGATTGAATCCGTGCACAAGACGTTGGATCATCGAATTTGGCTCCTACTGCGATGGCTGCTCATCGGGCAGATCCAATATCCTGGCAACAAACTCCGAGATGTCCGTATTGCGCTGTAAATGCTCCACAATGAATCCGTGCCGCAGCAGCTGCTCATAGTTGGGTCGCGCCGTGTACTCCTTCTTCAGGCATGTCGCTATGAAGTCCTCGAACTCGGCGGAAAATGAGCCCGCCGGCAGCCTGGGCGGATCGTCCTCAACCACCTAATGCATAGAAATGGGTTAGGTCAGGTCTATGGCTGGAGGGGATCTCTGTGCTCTGTGCTCACCTGACGCAGCTGCTCGAAGGGCGTTCGCCATTTATTATAGGGATACTGGCCGGTGGCCATTTCAATCATGCTGATGCCCAGCGACCAGACATCGGAGCGTATATCATATTGGGCTGGGTTACCTTGCGGATCGATCCGTTCCGGCGCCATATAAGGCTTGCAGCCGGCATCTATGGTCTTGGCCACGGAGTCAACTAGATAGCCTGCGGAAGGAGAAGGAGGAGAGTAAAATGCGTGAAAAGTGATTTCGATTAACACAAAAGCCATGGAAATGGAAGCCAGTTGCAGTTGCAGTTCCAGTTCCAATTCCCATTTCATTTCCATATATTCAAGTGAACGAAACGGAATGGAACAGTTGTAATCAAAATTTTGGATTTATATAAATCGGAATACATTAGGCTATTTCCATTGCTTGTCATATAATCGAAAACGAAACGAAACGGAACGAAATGGAATGGAACGGAATGCAGAGCCTATGCTAATATTGAGGTTATGTACAGTTAACAGCGCTCACCTGAGATGCCAAAATCGCATATTTTTACCTGACCGCCGCGATTGATCAGTATATTTGATGGCTTTACATCACGATGTATGACCTTCAGCTGGGCGTGCAGATAATGCAACGCACTGACCACGCTCATCGCAATCTGTCCACAATTGGATATGAATCAATTATATATTGAATATATTTTGCATAGATTCGCTCACTTTGCCGAGCACCGGCTCCTCCATGGTTAGCTGATTTTTGAACACCTTCGGATAGAATTTGTCCAGGCTGGTGTTCATCACCTCCATGCATATCCAGACATCGCCCTCGCGGTACATGGCGCCATAGAAGTGGACCGTATACGGGCAATCGCTGGAACGCATCGATATGTCCAGATCCATAATTAGGCGCTGCTGTTCCCGGAAGTTAACAGTCATTGGGATGCGCTTAACGGCGAGCACTGTGCCCGTTTGGCGATGCCGCATCTTCTCCACAATGCCGTAGGCGCCGCGTCCCAAATCGCAGATCTTCTCCAGGCTGTCGGCATCGATGTCAAATGTTTGCTCACCAATTTGTATGGTTGCCCGTGAGTCCAGGTTACGCGGCGGCACGCTGTTAACACAATTAACAGAATGTTAAAGATTGCACTTTATGCTGGCATGACACTTGCTGGCTGTTCGTTTTGCTTTTGCCATTGGTTGGAACGAGACAACAGCATTAACATGGCATAGGGTAAGTTGTAAGTGTGGTGCTGTTATTTGTCTACATATTTCGCATGTTTCGGACAGTTTCCCTTAACGGTAACAATTGATAAGATACATTTTTAATAATTTAGCTAAGGATTAGCTAGCTATTGCTGCAATTGGTTTGTTAGGGTATACAATATTCGGCATGCCAAATATAGCTGTGGGCTTTTTTGTCGTTCATCGAACCAGTTCAATCTATAAGCAGACACACACACACACATACACACATACAGACGACAACAAAACGCTTTTGCCCAAAAATGTTATAACAGATTGTTTTGCGCACTCTTCGCACACTTTAGCTAGGTTCTGTGCGCTCACACATTCATACGCGGACGCACACACACACACACACACGCACGCACGCGCACAGGCACAGGCAGAAGCAAAACGAACAAGTGTCATAATGTCATAACCCCAATGCACTTACAATGCCGGTTCCGGCTCACGCGAAATGCCAATGGGTGTGAGGCGCGGACGTGGTCGTGACATTGCGGCGCTGCGCTCTGTAGTTGAAATACGTGTATGTGTGTATATGTATATGTATAAGTAGGTGGGTGTATGTATATATGCGTGTGCGTCTTTGGCGGCCTGCACTTGCACTTCTTTGACTCTTCACGCGTTTTGCGCTGCACGTTTCGCCTGGTAACTGAAATTATTTGCTCCACTTTTAGTTGGGGCCGCTATTGGATACTTTTATTGCTGCTGCTGCTGCTGCTGTTGTGTGGGTTATTTTTTGAGTCGGCGTCGACAAAAACAACAACGACGGCGACGGCGACGTCGATGGAGCGGCGACGGCGGCGGCGGCTGCTGCTCTTGCTATTTTTACCACATTTGGTCAAATCGTGTTGTGGATATGTATGCCTGCTGCGCATTCGATTGTGCGAATTGGAAAAAAAAAATGCTGTCGCAATGCCGCGCTCTGTACGATTATGGCGGTTTTTGGGCTTTACTTTTCTTTGATATCTTTTTTCTTTTTTTCACCCAACACTCGCGCACAACTCGTCCTCGTTGAAAACAATACAGTGGGATAATCGCAGTGTTGCCAACTCAGCCGTTTCCTGCTCGTTTTTTAATCACACATAATATGCTAGTATTTTCTGTGGTCACACTGGCTCGCGTTTGTCCTTGAGCAGTGAAATTCTTGATTTGATTGTGGCAAAATATCAATTGATTGCCAATAAGTTTAATATTGAATAATGTGCATTATTATGCTTTTTATTTTGTTCAATGTACAACGCGAACACGAGCAAAGCGTAGCACACAAAAACATAACAGTTTTACCACAAAACTGAGCGATATATCGATATTTTCACAATTCATCGATGCCAGCTGGTTGGTGGCTCAGTGTATTTACATACTAGCGCCGGATGGTCACACTGTACACACTATCTTCTTGTTGGTGGTGGACAATTTCACATTGTTTTATAGGATGTGCATTGCGAACTAGCCAGCAAATACATCAAAGTTAAAGTTTAATGCAAAAGTGCAAGTGTTCGCGCCAGCCAGCAACAATTATAAGCATACGCCGAAGTAACGCTCGAGTGCAAAGCGAACGCCTACAAAAATAACGAGTGCTGCATCAAAAAAAAAAAAAAGGAAAAGAATCGCGAGCTGTATTTGTTGTTGTTGTGCTGTGTGCTGGGTGCGTGCGTGCGTGCGTGCGTGCGTTTGTTCGTTTGTTCGTGCGTGCGTGCGTCTGTGTCGCTTGTCGTTTCTGTTTTTATTTGGTTTTTTTTTTTTTTTTTTTGTTATTTTGTTAAAATTTTGTTGTTGTGCGGCGTCTGCAAGTGGAAAGTTCACGCGCACGCATACAAGTGCATAAAAAATAGTAAAAGACACACACACGCACACTGTGTGTGTGTGTGCGCGCGAGTGTTGTGTGTGTGTGTGTGCGAGTGTGAGTGTTCGTATGTGTGTGGCGGTAGCAGCGCCAACTGCAGCCATAAATACACAACGCCAGGAAAATCGAATTTGAAACAAAAACAACTGAACGAAGCAGAAGCCAAAAGGGAAGAAGAACACAACAACAAACACAATAACAGCTGCAACAATGTCCAGCACAATTGAATTTGAGACAATTGGCAGTCGCCTGCAATCGCTGGAGGTTGCGCTGCAGGCGCAAAACGAATCACATGAACAAATCGTCTTATCGAATGCGCGCGACGCCGTCGCGCGTGTCTGGCCCACAACAATAACGGCAGCAACAGCAACAGCAGCAGCAGCGACAACAACAACAACAACAGCAGCAGCAACAACAACAACAACAACAACAACAACACCAAATGCTGCAGCGGCCGTTAGCGCCGCCGCAGCAGCTGCTGCTGCAGCAGCAGATGCAGCAGCAGCGGCATCAGCAGCTGCAAGTGTCGCTGCCGCCGCCGCTGCCGCCAATAACGCCGCCTCACCCACTAGACCAGCCGCAGTTGGTGCGCTGCCGGCGCCAACGTCGCTGTCGTCGGGCATCTTTGCTGGCGGGGGATTTGCCCCGCCCATCAGGAATACGCGCACAACGCCGAGTTTGCCCATACGTAAGTAAAAATACTGTTAAAAACCAAATACAACTGCAGTTGTGTGTGTGCGTGTGTGTGTGCTGATAAGAAATTGGCGTTTCGATAGATACGATAAAGGCTCGTTTACTCATGTGCTCATGCACTTACACATACACTTGCACATGTATTTGCATGTAATACGCTTAACAAAGGGCCCTCGTTATCGATCTCTGCGTTTCGATTGCATAGATAAGCGCACGCTGCGAGCAAAACAAACCAAAAACAACAAACTTGTTTTCGCCAATTGCAGCCCGCAGCATCAATACATGCAAATGTTTCTACAGAAGCCAGCGTCGCTGCTTCCGCTGCTGCTGCTGCTTTCGCTTCATGCTTTTGTTCTTATGCACGTATGTATGTGTGCGTTGTTGTCTTATTCGCATTGTTTCTTATTGGATTTACGTTCGCGTATTTGGTAATTCTTTTGGGCGGCATGGGCAAATGTTATCGATAAATCAAAGTTGCACAATTCCAATTAGAATTTCTAAACAAAGCATGCTTATTCCAGATATTGGAGTTTGTGATGGCGTCTTTTGCATATGAAATAGCTATAGAGAGAACATATTTTTGACCATTTCCAATTCCAATTGGATTGCGACTTTTAGGAACGCAAGCATTAATTGCAAGCTCATTTTTATGTGCTTCCAATAGCTTTTTCGTAAACAACTCCAATTGGACCATTGAATGCTGTGCGCACGTGAGCCTCACTGCGAATTAACGGCAAATGCACTTGCAGCTCTCTTTTACTCTCTCCGCTCGTTCGCCTATTTTTTGCGTTTCTATGTGTGCATGTGTGTGTGTGTGTGTGCATGTACATGTGTCTGTGTGTCGCCGCTTTCATTTGGCATGTTTGTTGGCATTTTTTTTTGGCATTTCCGGAGTAATGTCTTGATATGCGTACTTCGCCGCCGACGCCGCAGTCGCCGTCGCCGTCGCCTCTGTTCGAATTGTTGTTTGTTTTTTTATTCGCTTTTGGTTTCGCGTTTCTTCACCCGCAAACAGACACACGCACACCACGGCAACGGCAACGGCGAAGGCGAGGGTGAGAGTGAGGGAGACAGCGTGACTCGCGTGAGTTTTGCGGCGATAGCGACGAAATTTGTCTTCGTCTTGCGTTTTGCCAATTCGCGCATTGTTTACAAATCATTTTTATGATTCGCAGTTGTTGCTGTTGTTGTTAGTTGTAATATTTCATTTGAATCGGCTGAAAAGTAATAACTTATTTAACGCTTACAATAACAATAATAATAGTCATAATAGTATTAACAATAACAGCACACATAATGCTGCTCACAGTTCGTGGTCAATGTAATGCACAGTGGGACAAGCTTGATTTGTTTTGGGCTTCATTTGACCCATTCACAAAAGCGGCTGCAGATCTTCGGATCAGAGTACATATCATATTCAATCAATTGATTAACTAGCAAATACCCTGTTGCACTTTTGAAAACAATTCGAAAATGATATACACTTGAGCTAAGCTAAGTATATTTCTTTGGTTTATGCAAAATCGATTTCGCTTGCAATTCTCAACAAGTTTAAGCTTTGAAAATTGTTATTAGTATTACGCTAAAAAGGTCGCACTAAAGTTTTATAACCACACATGAGTCTATATGTCAAATTTGGTGTCCACTCGACTCGTTTGATCAGGAAGAAATATACTATATGAAAGTACAGTTGCCTTCATTTACCCCTTTTTAGACTTTTAATGGGTGCAGGCTATAAGAAACGACTTCCGCAAGTTAAAAAGAAACATTTGTGGACCTAAGTAGTGCCCCATTATTGGGCTAGCGATGTCGCACAATGAAAATCCAGGAAATTGATAGCTTTGACCTTGACTAGAGAATGCATCCGAAGCAAATGTAGTTTGTGCCAGTGTGCATGGTATTCCTATGCGCACACACACACGCTCACACACATGGTCGCTTTGTTTGACTAACGGTTATTAGAGACGAAAACAAATTGTTGAGTGGCAATATTTATTATTATTTATCCGCGCATTGCTGAAACTTGAGCCTTATCAACCCACATTCATATGAATTTCGCCCTGTCTATCTCTCTCTCTCTCTCTCTCTCTCTGGCCCTCTCTCTCTCTCGTTCTCGGTCTTTCTCTAGGTGATTCTGGCACGACTCGAACGCGCCGCATGATGTTGCCGCTGCCAACACAGGCGCATCCCTCGGAAACGGAAACGGACAAGAAACTGAAGATGATAATGGGCCAAACGGGCAAACTGAACATTAATGGGCGACAGTATCCGACAGATATACACGATCTGCAGCATCTGGGAGATCTGGGCAACGGGACCAGCGGCAATGTGGTCAAAATGCTGCACGTTTCCAGCAACACAGTCATTGCCGTCAAACAGATGCGTCGCACCGGCAACGCCGAGGAGAATAAACGCATTCTAATGGATCTGGATGTGGTGCTCAAATCGCACGACTGCAAATATATTGTCAAGTGTTTGGGCTGCTTTGTCCGCGATCCGGATGTGTGGATCTGCATGGAGCTAATGTCCATGTGCTTTGATAAGCTCCTCAAACTGTCCAAGAAGCCGGTGCCGGAGCCCATACTCGGCAAGGTCACGGTGGCGGTAAGTCAATCCGCATTTAACTCCTATCCACAAGCTAAAAATAGTTAGATAAATAGACAGATAGATAGACAGAAAATAGATAATTAGACAGACATACAGAATAGAGATATATAAGATAGATAGTCGCAGATATTAGATAGAAAGATAGAGATATTAAGTAAATAGATAGGGACTAGATACTAAAAAGATTAGTTTAGATAGTAGAAAGATAGACATATTAGATATAAAGCTAGATAGATAGATAGACAGATAGACAGATATATGTGAGAGATACATTAGTTAGATAGATTGAGATATTAGATAGATCGATACAGATATTAGATAGATAGCTAGCGATATTATATAGATTATGGAAATATACGATGAATAGGAAGATATATTAGATAGATAGATAGAGATATGTGAAAGATATAGGGAAAAACAATAAATCTAGCTAACAGTGTTGACAAACCGGAGTTTTAAGTAATTAATGCGCAGTGTTGAGTAACGAGCTGAAAATTGCTAGTTCCTCATGTCATATAACTATGCAACACTGTTTTTGAATGTTCCGCAATTCGAACTTGACTCCCTTATCCTTAAAGAAAATAAATGATATATTGCAACAGAAACTAGATTATATTGATCGGGATAATGATCAGGAATACCTTATAGCTACCTCACGGTATTACGCATCTCCTGACAATGTTATCAACCTACAATGAACTTAATTGATAGTGTTGGTAAATTACATAAAAAAGTTTACTTTAGTTTTGCTACTATGCAATACTTATTTAAATTTACAAAAAACAAATGAAATTCGTGCCAAATTGACAGTGTTAATTAAATGCTTAACTGTCTGATTACAAATATTTGCAGTGCATTTAAAATTAAGGTTACTTAACACTGTTTGTTTTTTACATTCAAATGTTTCTAGTGTAGAACAAAAGAGAGAGAGAGTTATCATAAATTTGAATAAAATGAATCCATTTTAAATGTCAAAAGCTTAAAAAGTGCATTGTCAGTGTTAGTTAATAGCACGCGAAGTACGTTTTTCAACACTGATTTAAATAAAGCCTTTCGCTTGCAATTGTGCATATATTTGAAACTGATTTAATGTCTAGGCGATACATTAAGCTCATATTACTTAGTTAACTAACACTGTTCTTCTGTTTCTCCCCTGCCCTGCCCTGCCCCCGCCTCGCCTGCTCCTCTTCCTATATCCCGCTGTGCAGACGGTGAATGCATTGTCCTATCTGAAGGACAAACACGGCGTCATCCATCGTGATGTGAAGCCGTCGAACATTTTGATCGATGAGCGCGGCAATATAAAGCTATGCGATTTTGGGATTAGCGGCCGCCTGGTGGACTCCAAGGCGAATACACGTTCTGCTGGCTGTGCAGCTTACATGGCGGTAAGTGCGAAGCCCATTTAAAACAAGGATAATTAAATAATGTACTGTTCTATTTTTATATGTGCTGTTGGCAGCCGGAGCGCATTGATCCGAAGAAACCAAAGTACGATATACGCGCCGATGTGTGGTCGCTGGGCATAACGCTTGTGGAGCTGGCCACCGCACGTTCACCGTACGAGGGCTGCAATACGGACTTTGAGGTGCTAACCAAGGTACTCGACTCGGAGCCGCCGTGTTTGCCCAGCGGCGATGGCTACAATTTCAGTCAGCAGTTTCGTGATTTTGTCATCAAGTGGTAAACGTCAAGCAATGGCTAAGCTTGTCATACGATTACATATGTGTCTCTGGTTTGCTTTCGTTGCAGCCTCACCAAGAACCATCAGGATCGACCCAAATATCCGGAGCTGTTGGCCCAGCCATTCATCAAGAGCTACGAGCTGGCCCATGTCGATGTGCCCAACTGGTTTCAGAATGTGATCGACTGTGCTGCGGGCAAGCGACTGCGCGCCAATGGCGACTCCACGTTGACGAGGTGAGCCGCCAGTTCTCTATTAAGCATTACCAGTCCAATACCCGACTCCGCTTCCAAGCTGTCCCGGCCCCCCATTTTCAAAATGATAATAACAATAATGCCAATCCCTGTGGCCCACTGCCTGCCTGTCTGATGTTGGCTGTGTGCGTGTGTGCGTGTGTGCGTGTGTGTGTGTGTGTGTGTGTGTGTGTGTGTGTGTGTGCGTGTGTGTGTGTGTGTGTTTGCGGTCGCCATGTACACAACAACGCTTCGTTTCAATATTTGTTTCCGTTTCCGCTTTTGTTTCATTCCGTTACGTTGCGTTTTCTTTTGATTTCTTTAGCTAACTCTGACAACAAACAAAATTTCTTAACAGGTAGGCAATAAAAAAAAAACAAAAAAAAAACAACAACAACAAAATACAACTAAAACCCGTACCTAATTGTAGGGTGTTTGCTGAAGTTTGTAATATTTCCTGTTTGCTAGCTTAAAAAATTAATAATAATAATAAAAAAAAAGAAAGAGAACAAAAAAAAGGAAAAGAACTTTAGCTTAACGTTGGCATGTCTCTCTATTATCCACGCTCACACACTCTTCTTCTTCTTAACTGTTTTTTATGATTTGTTTTGGTTTTCAACTTGATTTACTACTATTTGGAGCACAATTCTACTACCTTTTTGCTACTACTATTTTGACAACATTTTCTTCTTCTTCTATTTTGTAACACTTATCCACCATGCTCTAAATGCACTTCGTATGCACTTTATTCGGGCACTGACAGGCATTCAGTGAGTTGTTCCATTCCGTTTCGTTCCTAACCGGTGTCAGCTGTACCTACCCTCAATATAGCCTAGAAAAATGGAATTGATTTCATATTGATGCAATGCTTGAATTGATGCATTGTCAGTGCCAACTTTGTATATACCCTACAATATATATACAATATATATATATGTATATATATGGCCCCGAATTCTCACCCAGCTCTGGTGAGTGCCAAGTCTCCCCACGGAGACTCTCCTCCTCACACACACAGCCCCCTCTCTGCCCCCGCAAAAGCCCAAAAACATAATTATATATATTACATGAAAAATTAGAAAAGAAACAAAAGAATAATTCGAATTTGTTTTGCGTTTCATTGACTATTTAATTTGTGTGTTTTTTTTGATTTTCTTTTTTCATCTTTTTTATTACCATTTTTTGTAGGTTACTTAATTCCTAATATATATATGCTATTATAATAAATGCAAAAAACAAAACCAGGCAAACTGTAAAACCGATTTAAACCAAAACATAAAAACTTATAAAAAAAAAAAAATCCACAAAAACAAAAACCAATTGATTATAACCAATAATGCGAGCAATCAACAACATATATACATATATATCTATATACACATATACATATATATATATATATAAATATATAATAATAATTGATATACCCTTACCATGATATGATATACACATATATAAATGAGACAAATGCAAGAAACCATAATCAAAGAAATGAAAACATAAATCAATACAATAAAACTCCTCCCAAATCAAAAGTCAAATTCAGTAAGTACTACCGAGTTTTCTTGTTATTATTATTATTGTTATTATTATGATTATACTAATGCGCATTGATTCATTAATGTTCTTTAATTTTTAATTATTAATTTTTTTATTAACATCTTTGTTGTATTTTTTTATAATTATTCTTGTTGTTATTCTGCTGCATGTTGCTTGGGGCTTAACAATTTTAATTTTTCGAATTATTTCTTAATTCATTTGCCACAAAAAAAAAAAATGTATATATATATATTTAAAAAAACGACTTCACACATCAAACGAGGTAAATTTTTTGCAATTTTTAATTTTCATTTTTCTTTTCATATATTTTTATTTGATTTACTCATAGTTTAAGTGTTTGTTGTATGCTTCGCAATTTGTGGCGTTCATTGCAATTGTTTTCGCTGCCGTTTCATTCCATTCCATTCCATTTCGTTTCGTTTCAATGCCACCACATTGCACATACCGCTTCCGTCTATATGTATGTACAAGTTCCAACCTTATATATATATATATATGTGTATATATGTTATCTGATGTGCTTTATTTATCTTGTCTTTCGCTTGTTTCATCCCATTCGTTATCATCTCTTGCTTTTTATCGGGCACTCTTCGGTGTGTTGAGTTTTGATTTTGATTCTGGTGCAAATTCAACACACCACAATGGCGACGCTTTCCTTGTTTCGGTTTCTGCAGCGCCCTCTGGCGGCTCGAAATTGTCATACCCCTTGATGCTGTGCGTGGGGAACATAGTGAAAAGTGATACATTCTGGGTTTTAAATGGCGATCGACAAAGAGAGGGGGAAGAGAGAACAGTAGTTGATAGCGTTGATAAGGATGAAAGTGAGGCTTTGAAAAGCGAGCGAGAAAGAGAGGGGCAGAGAAAGAAAAGTAGTTGATAGTGTTGAATCGATAACTATCGATAGTTATCGTGAATCGAATTTGTGAAATATGTATATATTCTATTAAAACGTCGGCATTAATTTACGCGGTTTCTAGACCTAATAATATTCGAAATAGAATTTCAAAACATTTTAGTACCGATAACAGAGGGCGTAAGCTATCTTAGCAATCGATAACTATCGAAATTAGGACTTATGCCTCATTCTTTTAATTGCACTTATTCAGCGCGCACTCAATACATCTCTCTGTCTCTCCTTCTCTCTCACTCTCTCTCTCTCTCTCTCTCTCTCTCTGTGTCTCTATCTCTCTGTCTCTCTCTCGTTGGTATGTTGCTTTCTAATTGTTCCTTGCGCTTATTATCTCATTGAACTCATTTACCTCATATATGTTCCATGATCCAGTCGAGACATCTAAACATTTGCCCACTCGCTCCTTACACACACACACGCACACACACACACACACACATGTAAACATGCACACACACATTCACGCCTCCTGCTCTCACTCGCTCGCGCCGCATAGCACTGAACTCTATTTCCTTCTCTCTCTCTCTCTCTCTCTCTCTCTCTCTCTCTCTCTCTCTCTCTCTCTCTCTCTCTCTCTTACTCTCTCGCTCTCTTTGTGTCTGTTTTACTCTAACGCTGTCATGCTGGCGTACATTTTATGTGTGTGTGTGTTTTTTTTGCACATATCGGGCTCAACAAGCAGCTGCAAAAATTAATAAAAACTATGCGTTAATTGCAGAGCGACAACAACAACAACAGCAGCAGCAGCCGCAGCAGCAACACGCGCCAAAGAAGCTGCCACATTGTATGGAAGAAATGCGGCGGCATTGACAACGCGCAGTCCAAGCAATACGCAAACGCTGAAGACAATAAAACCCACACAGATTCCAAGCTATCAGCAGGCGCCGGCTACTACGGGTACGCAGTATTTCATGCAATCAGCCACACAACTACCTCAACAACAACCACAGCAACAAGCAGCAGCAGCAGCAGCAACAGCAACAACATTGAACAACTTCAGCAGCGGCGGCAGCGGTGGCAGCGGCAGCAGCAGCAGCGCAAGTCCCATGTCGCCGCCAGGTGGTGGCAGCAGCATCAGCAGCAACGACATCAACAAGCTGTATCGCAAGTCGCCGTTCATGCAACGCAAGCTGAGCAATGGCTCGCACTACAAGTACACGGATGAGAGCCCCAAAAAGGAGTCTGTATTCAGTAGCATTGGTAAGCTATGCCGGACACGCGGACATGGTCACTTGTGCAGCGACAAATGTAACTGAATCTATACTTTTTATTTTATTGGCAGGTCAATCGATATTACGCAATTTGACAACATCGCCGTTCAGTCAAAAGAAACATCAAGCGATTGTCACAGCAACAACACCAATTGCAGCAACAGCAACAACACCGATTGCCACAACAACTGCAACAACAATAATAACAACACTGCCGCATAGTAAAGCCAAAACGCCGACTGAGCTAATGAGCACGCCCAAATGGCGTCTGCCAGCAGCGCAGAGAACGTTGCCGTACGATACCTGTGATAGTAGAATTGATAATTGCAGCGCCCTCGGCTCGCCCACGTTGCAGCCCAAAAGCCTGATAACAGAGCCAACGATAGCGACAACAACAACAGCAACGACAACAACAACAACAACAGCATTGCAGCTCAACAATCAACAACAACAACAGCGTATGCAGCCAGGCAATCAGAGTCCCATAGGTGAGGGGCTAGTCTAGGCATTATTATCATATAAATATGTGTACTTAACAGGATTCGAACCAGCTTTATGCCTTATGTAACAATTTGTGCCCGGCTGGTTGTGGTTAGTTTAGAATTTACTTCTGAAAATATTGCTTGTCGTATATATTTTCGTACAAGCAAGCCAGTTTTGGCAACAGAACAGTAGAAAATAAGCGAGTTCGAACCGGCAGCCCTTATGTTTACTTTATACATATAAAGCATATAAAGTGCATTTGTATATAATAAGTAATTATTGCCTGTTCATATTGACGACTTCTGTCGTTGCAAAGACTTGCTTTAAATTGTTAATATATGCCTAACATGTCCTCCATGTTCAGTTTATTTTAGAATTTAATAAGCTGTCTTTAAGTAGAGTTCATTATTAACGAACATATTATTCTCTGAGTTAGCGAATTGCTTACAGAGCTATTCAAATAATCTAGCTTACATGTTCTCCATGTTCAAGGCATACCTTAGCCCTATTTCGACATTATAGAGCATTTCTTTTTCTCTTTAAAAATGTCTTAAATACAAAATAGTCTTATATATGTCGATGTCCTGCACGTTTGCCTTATGTCAGTGCATTTTAGGCGCAACTAAAACTTTGTCGCTTCTTATTTGGTTCTTTAACGATTTGTCTAAGTCTTCGTCTTTATTTGATATTTTAGCTAAATTTGTATTCAAACATTATCTAATTTTCTATTTCTCTTTCTCTATTTACCTCTCGCTCTTTGCAGTGTTGCAGCGTTTCTATCATCAGCAGAATCAGCTACGCGAAAAGGAGGCAGCCGAGCGGCAACATCACTTCCAGCAGCAACATCTGCAGCAGCAGCAGCAACATCTGCAGCAGCAGCAGCAGCTGCAACATCATTATCAGCCGCAACCGCAACATTATCACTTTCATCAGCCGCCACAGACGACGCCAGCGCCAGCGCCGGCGGCGCCGCGTCCTGCGCCTGTCATTGGCACCAGCACGAATCCGTTTCACAGCAACTATGTGGCGCCACCCTCCTCGCACTCCACATCTAGTCAGTCATCGACGCAGTCGACGTGCTCGCAAATAGCCATCGGCGCAGCGCCAGCATCGCCTTGTGCCACAGCAGCCGGACACTTTGGCGTCGGCAATGCGACGCAGTTGCAGTATCAGCCGCTGCCGCTGACGCCAACGCCAACGCCCGCAACAACAGCAACAACAGCAAAATCAACAACATCAACGACAACAAGAACTAGCGATAACATATTCTACAGCAGCTTGCCCTGTAGATCACCAGAGCAACTGCAGCCGGATTATGTTAGCGGCGAAGTTGGCGGAGGATCTGTTGCTGCTGGTCTTCAGGTGGGCAGCAAGCTGAGCAAATTGTATGCCCGTCGCCAGCTAATTGGCCAGACGAGCAACAACAGCAGCAGCAGCAGCAGCAGCAATAATCTAGATGCCAGGGAGCAGCATGTGTACTCCAGCCATGCGGATGCGGGTGAGTGCCTGACAAAATTCTTCTTGATTTCATTATCTTTTTATGTGTTCATATTTAAGTATATATCTATATACATATATAACGGTTTGTCCTGACTGAATGACTGACGGGTTGACTGACTGATCGATGTACAGCTCAAATTTTTACTAAAGTTACCTTATGTGATCTTGGGCTTTGGAAAATTTCACTCGAAACTGTGAAAATTGCACGAAAAACGATTGTATGCAATTTTTTTTTTTTTTTGCTTACCCAAAAGAATGCTTTTCGCAAAATCCACCCGAAAATTGGGCACGTCCATTTCATGCACTTGGCAATTGATGTCAGACGAGTTTCACACTTTTCGCTAATTCCACCCTTCTGTGTGGAAATGGGGCAGTTGAATTTTCTGTTTTAGCTTCATAACTTGGAAAATTCATGCCCGACATCTTCAAATTTCGGCCGATCGGCCGTTTTTAAACTTATTTGAAAGCTTTATGAAAACGTGTTGCTGGCGTCTTAGGAAGTTTCACCAGCAATTGTGGAAAAAGGGCGGATTCCTTGAAAAGTGGTTGCTTAACCATACGGTATCCTCTTGGATCTTGGATCCTCTTGGAAAATGCATTTAAAACGTTTTTACACGCAATGCAAATTCCATTTGTTTTGCATATCAATTCGCACGGGCGGAAAATGAGTGAAAAGTAATAACTGAAATTAAAAACAAGTAAGAGGTGCTAGTCGGGAGCTCCCGACTAGGGAATACCCTGAACCCTCTTCTTTCAACATCAAATGCATATATATATTCTATTTTAGAAGCTATATGTCAAGTTTGGTGACTCTAGCTCTTATTATTTACCAAAATTGCCCAAAGAACAGTATATCAATATCGATTTTTATCGATTGCTTGGAAACGAAGTAAGTTATCGATTATCGGAAACAAACTCGATCTGCGCGGGAACTAGGAGTGGCTACATCTAAAATCTCTAGCTCTTATAGGTTCTGAGATCCTTGCGTTCATACATACGGACAGACGGACGGAAGGACAGACATGGCTAGATCGACTCGGCTATTGATGCTGATCAAGAATATATATACTTTATGGGGTCGGAGATGCTTCCTTCTGCCTGTTAAATACATTTGGATTTTGCACAAATACAATATACCCTTTTTACCCATTTTGAATGGGTTCGGGGTATAACAAAATGAATTAGGTACCGGGCAAATCGTTTTTTCTTTTTCTAGAAATTGAATTTCTTGCGCTTTTTTTTTAGTTTCTATTTTGTTGTTGTTGCATTTTGCGCTTTTTCTGTGGCTCTCGACTAATTCTTTCGCTCGCTTGTGCTCTTTATGTTTGTGTTCTTTCTCTTTGTTTACACACACGCACACACACTCGCACACGCACACGCACACGCACACGCACACGCACACGCACACTTATACGCACATATTTAAACACGCACGCACAACTCATGCACGCTCGCCCGCACCACATACACGCTCCACATGCACTGCATCAATCAACCATCAATCAACAAACAAACAAACAATCAAACAAACAATCAATCAACCGATCGATCAATCAGGCTGGTTCAATACAATCGCCGGCGCCATGAAGCGACAATTTGCGACCTATGTTAAAACCCAATTGAATTCCACAGCGACGCCAACGGCAACGGCAACGGCAACGGCGCCCAATGTCAATGGGAATGAGCAGCTGGGCGGCTTGGAGCCGGCGCAGCCACCGCAACCACCGCCACCGGCTTATCGGAGCATTATGAACAATGGCAGCAGCGGCCATGCGACAGGCAAATCCTATTACTATCGGACGCTGTCCGCGGCGAGCAGCAGCAGCAGCCACAATACCAGCCAAAGCACCTCACCCACAACGGAGCCGCTGACGGGCAGCGGTGCAGCTGGCGTTGCGGCAGCCTCTGCCGCTGGCCATGTGCTAGCGACCAGCGGCTTTTTGCGACGTTATGCCAGCAGCGGCGGCGTGGCCGTCGGCGGCGGCGGCGGCGGCGGCAACAGCTGCGGTAGCCACAGTACACCGGCCAGTCCACATTTGCTGGCCGGCCTGGATAGGCGTCATCGCAGTCCGGATCCGCCGCCGCGCTACAATCGCGGCCAGTCGCCGCTGTTGTTGCGTAAAAATCTGCTCGAGCTGAGCGGCCAGCCGCCGGGCTCACCGCTGCTGCAGCGACGGTAAGTGTGCCGCAACCGTCACAACTAGACTAATGCTGGCGTTCAACTAATCATCTAAACATCATTCAAATAGCTATGTCTCGGCGTCGCCGCCATTGCCGCCGCCGCGTCGCGGCTCGGAGAGTGTGCCCGGCTCGCCGCAACATTTCCGGACGCGCATCCACTATACGCCCGAGCCGCAGCGACGCATCTATCGGACCATAGATCAATGAGTAGCACTGCAAATTATGGTCATGTGATGTTGGTATGGATTCGACGATGATGTGATGGCGCCCGATGACCCGGCAGCTGCTGGCGACAGCTGCAGCACGGCGACAACAACGGCGGACACAAGCACAACAGCAACAACAGGCGCGCCACACAGACGCTCGCTGGACTTTTAAAGCGACAGCAACAACAACCAACAACAACCAACAACAACAACCAACAACAACAGCAAACGAAAGTGTTCAAAAGTCGTATATATAACGTTTAAATTTTAGGCCGTAGCTAGGCGTTGCGTTGTCTTTTAATGTTAATTCAGCTAGTTCACAAAATGTTTCTGTTTTAATTTATAACAAAAAGCAATTTTTTTTTTTTTTTTAAATTTAATTCTTAATTGTGTGTGCTTGAGTGTGTGTGTGTGCGTTTGTGTATATAGGAATTGTTTTAGGCAACAAACTAAACAACAATCAAGTTAAATTTTGTAACTGCAATATATCCAGCCATATATCCAGCATATATATGCATATATAGCGTATACATATAACTGAACTAATAGCCAAAATTGAACACTGTGCCCTATATAACTATATCAATATATATGTCTCTCTCTCTATATATATATATGTATATAAATCAGCTGCTTTTTTTTTGTTTCGTTTACATATGCCCGTATATAGTCGCATATCTATATTGTAGATGTATTCAGATGCTGAGACAACAATAATAGTGCAATAGTTGAATTTCTCGAGCAACATTTGTTTTGAGCTTTTGACGTAGCTTTATAAGCATTTGCTGTAAACAAATCGAAATAGTTATATTCATATACTAAATGCAAAACAGATAGATAACAATTTGATCGGCACGGAATGCCTTTTCATTCACATATATATATACTATATACTTGCTATATAGCTCCGTTTATTTGTATTATTATGTATTATTTGCTTTGTTATAATAGAATTCTATAAAAAAAAAACAAGTTCCTTACGAAATACTTACCACAAGAGCAGCAAAAACACAAAACTAAAAACTCTAAGTGTGAGTGCATGTGTGTTAGTGTGTGTGTGTGTGTGAGTGTGTGAGTGAGTGTGTGCAGCTTAGCGACCTCAATGTTTTGTTCCTGCGCGTGCATAACAATTAAAGAATAGATTATTTCAATATAGCCCAAAAACATATAAAACAAAAACAAAATACTTTCAAGCTAATGCATAATTATAAAATTGTATATAAACTATAAAGAAAATCAAAGATATATTCATATATATTCATATATATATATATATGTATGTATATATATGCATATGCTTATATATTTATATATATGCATGTATATCCTATATATAAAGCGTGCGAAAAGGGTATGTTGCATTTGCTGTTTGAAAAAAAAAAAAAACAATTTAATTTCCATATATATATTTTTTGGCTCTTTGTATGTTTAAAAATTGCAATTGAAATGAAAAAAACTGAAGAGGAAAAAAAAACACCATTTATTTGTACGTTAATTTATTGAAATCAGATAAAGCAACAAGTATAAAAAAAAAATAATAATAAATTAAATGATGTATTTCGACTGATTTATGTGTTAAAGTTAAGGCTTTTTGGACTATATACTTATGTATGTATGTATATGGAGGTGTATGTGTGTGTGCATATGTACATATATACATATGTGCGCATCAGTCTTAGTGTCTACCTTTTAGTTTTACTATATACACATGTATGTACAGTATATGTATGTAAGTATAAATATATATATATATATATATGTATATATACGTATATAAGCGAATGTATGTATGTATGTATATATATGTATATAGATATGCATATATGTATAAATATTGTAAAAATTATATAAATGATGTACGTTGCGAGCATTAAACAAAGTAAATCAACAAAAACAATTGAATGTAAACTCTTATGAATACCAATAATAATAATAATAATAATTATAATAATAAATGTAATAATTAAAATACATAATTCGAAAATTCAATAAAAATGAAAATAGATCTTAAAACCCTCAATAAAAAAAAAGAAGAAAAACAAATGCAGTTTACTTTACCAGAAAGATAAATACTTTGATTCTACATTCAGAAATTTCATATTAAGCATCAATCAATTTAATTTCAATATCAAACATTGTTTTTGTTGACAAATTAGTTAAGCAACTGTTTTAGTTTTAGTTTAAATTGTTAAATTTTTGTTTTAATTTAACATAGTCCATATTTCTACAGCTCTAAATAATAACAATTGCCATTTTAACTCTTTCGCTAAATTCAATTTGAACAGATCTTAAAAACCTCAATACAAAATGGAGTCTAAGCTTAGTTATTTAATTCCAAACATTTCATGTGAAGCACTTATCAATTTAATTTCAATCCCACACGTTCCATTTGATGACCAATTAGTTTAGCGTTTAAGTAGTCATTTTTGTTTCAATTCACATGGTCCCAATTTGTACAGTTCTATATGAGAAGCATTCCAATGCCAATTGTTTCTCTAAATTGAATTTCAACTGTTCTCTCTTTAATTTAATCCAAATCCCCTTTATGTTCCAATTTCAATTGTTTCTCAACTTCTGTCTATTAGCTTGAAAGACTCACAAATTGAGACAAATTTATATTAATTCCAATTCCATTTCTGTTTGAGTTTCGTTCATGCCTTTACCTCTGTTCCAATGCCAGTTGTTTCTCTAATTCGGTCTACCTGAAATTCCTACTGTTCCAATTCAAATTGTTTCTCTACTTCTGTTTATTGCCTCAAACTTTCTTTGGATCATTCACGCCTTTACTGCTGTTCCAATTCCGATTGTTTCTCCAATTCGATCTATTATCTCAACTCCCTACAAATTGACCAATATTTTAATTCCAATTCCATTTTTGTTTCAATTTCACTCAAACGTTTGCAACTGTTCCAATTCCAATTGTTCGCGCACGTTTTGCCCGCAAATGTTAATAATATGAAAAAACACAATTATTGAATTGTTTTTTTTTTTTTTTTTTAAATTCAGTTTTATTTAATGTATATATATAGATATTTCGCAATGTGTTCCATAAATGTCATACAATTGTTTTATATCCAGCATATCATATATATTAGCATAACTTTTGGCCATAAACAGACAAAACAAATGTTGTACACCCGAAAAATGTAGCCGAAATATTGAATTGAAATTCCAGAATCAAGCAATGCAGTTCGGGCCCATAAGGGGAACGACTGCTCCCATACACATATACATATATGCATATATGTATATATAGTAGTACATATATTAATATATATATATATATATGTATATATGTTTAGTCTGCATATAGTTGGTAGCATACGAGCAAACACATACACACATATATCGTAACATAGTATGGATAGATCAATTTAGATGCTGGCTTATTGTATAGGTTGATTACACATACATCCATTGGCATATATAGCATATTGTTGTACATTCATTATATGTTAATGTAAAATTAATTTTATAAATAATTAGTGTCGAAACGCAGCGAACCTGTTGCCTTGGCCCTCAGGTCGTCGCAATACATGCATGTATATAACATTCATATATGGAGTGTAATCATGTTGTATATAGTATAAAGTTGATGTACAAATGTAAAGTCGTATGAGTTTTTAATGTATGCATGTTTATATTGATTTAGCTGTCAATTACAATATTCAATTAGTTTGATAAGAGTATTCGGTGTGCTTAACGGATATTATCTAATCGGGTTTATCTTGGATTGTTTATGGTATACAATTAGATGAGCTCAAAAGGAGTCACACGGCGTTTAACACTCAGTTTGATTAAATTATGTTTTTTGTATTTTAATATTCTTTGCTTAACTCCATCAAAAAATTCGGCCACTGCATGTTCTGTCCTTGTTTCCAATCGGATATATGTTCATATATATAGTATATATATATATATATGTTCATTTAGTTTTCTCAGATAGAACATGCCGAACTTCGGCAAATCCGAAGTTGTCTTTTTCATTGTTTTCACTTTTACTTTTACATCATTTTTATTTGATTTGTTTTTGGTTTTTTTTTTTTGATTTTTTTTTGTTTTTCGTTTCGTTTTTGAGATATCAAGAGTTTATATAGTATGTACTATGAGTTAAATCTTTAGATTTTTGGTTGTAACACAGCACGGCACAAACACTTAGAAACACTTGTTGCAATTATGCAAAATATTGTTTTGTTGTAAGTATTCTTTTGTTTTTTGGTTTTTTTTTTATACTGTATTGTATGTAAATATTTTCGTAATGTATATATATTCAGTTACCGTTTCTCCAAACCTTTAAGGGGTTTTTCTTTGAAGTATCTTAGCTAGAGTTAGTAAATACTTTTTTTTATGTATTTTTGCGTTCAGTTTCAATAATTTGACAACTGTTAGCACAAAAAAAAAAAAAAAAAGAAACAACAATTTTCTCCAACTTTTGTTTGGATTTTTCATCGGTTTGATACCAATTGAAGAGGTTGCTTATGTTCTATTTCACACGTTCCGTTGCTGTCTTATGATATTCTTGAAAAATGCTATACGAATTACGGTTCGTCTAAAACTGTTTCATTTCAAGTGTTTCTTCGAACAGATAGTTCAACTTGTTTATTGCACAAAAAACAAATGTCTGCTGCATGTTCCGTTTCACATGCTGTCTAGCAAAAGTTCTCGTTTCAATGTTCTATGCGAGCTGTTCCATTTGCCATTTGTTTTCCAGCGATAGTGTTGAGTAATGTTTCATTTTCAAATTTCTGTTTGATGTGTTCTTTCTTAATTTTATTTACTGTTTTTTGTATTTAGTTCAGCAAAAACACTGTTTAAAAATTGTATTTTTTTTTTGTATTTTGTTCATCTACTGTTAATTCAACCGTTTCATTTTCAGTTTTGTATTTGTAATGTTTTGCAATTACCAGTGTTGGTTAATTTACTTGTTGTGAGTATAGTTCTATTTTCTGGTTTTTGTAGTTTACAACAAATTCAGCTATTATTTGGGCTGAGGTGGATTAATTCACACACAGATTAAGTTTGGATTATGTTTTATGGTTATATTCAACATTTTGCACATTTAAAGCATATTCAACGTTTGTTTCGGTGTGTATTTAAACTGGTATTTTAATTGGTATGTTCTTTTGGTATATTCTTACGGATAAGTGTTTTTAAGCATATGCCCAGCGCTGTGCTGGTATATATATATATATATATATATATATATATATATATATAATAAGTACATATGTATACATAGACTATATAAACATTTTGTTAGGTATGCATGTATTTAATTTTGATATACACATTTGAACCGTTAAGTGAAACCCTTTTTGAAAATGCTGCCGTTACGTTATTTCATTTGTTTTTCTTTGGTTTTCAATGTATATGTATATATATGTATATATTGTAGATCTGTATTTTTCTGTAGCTGTCTGTTATTATTGTGTAGTATGACAAATATGCGGTTAATGTATATATAGATAGCACATTTATGTAGGTGTATATATATTAAAGAAATATGCATATTGTACTTAGTATTTATGTAGTTACGACACATTCCACTCAAGATGCCAGCAACTGAAGGTTTAGCCTATATTAGGGGTATTCTGTGTAGCTTATGCATATTTAAAATATGCAGAAGCGGCATCAGTCAATAGCTGACAAATTAGTCAATATCAATGCGATAGTTTTGTTTAACCATACAAATGCGTTTATTTACATGTTCCTGGTAAATTTACCAGCCACCTTGACATGCTTGTGTTAGCTTGGTGGGCGGCTACGCTACCAGTTGCAACAAGACACAAAAGCGGCGCCTAGTTTTAAATACCTTATAAAACTCTTCGACTTGCGTTGCCAGCTAATCGACATCTGATTTTTGGTCTGACAGGTTGACAAATTAACTTCTAGTCAACTAACATGAACATTTTAACAGGTATATACATACATATCTATATATCTATGTGTGATATTTCAGCTGCTGGATAACTAGTAACTCTTAAGGACAGGCAATCGAATCCATAAGCGGAACATTAACACATTTTCATTTTTTAGATGCATTTAGTATTTTTCTGCTTGAGTGTGGTATTATTTTTGCACAGTTACAACGATAACCATTTTAATGCAAGTTAGTTAGTTAGTCACTTGTATTTGTTAGGTACAGCAAATGTATAATGTATATATATATATATGTTATAGATCTATAGCTAGCTCAGTTTCCAATATATTCTTGTTGGTATTTTTTTTTATGTAGTTTTTCTTTTTTATATTATTATCATAAAAAAAAAAAAAAACAAACGCAGCCATTCAATCAGTTTGAGATGTTGTTTAACACTTAAATACATATACGAGTGTGTAAATGTATGTCTATGTACATATATATTTTTAGGTTTTTCTTTTCAAGGTTATGCTAGGTTTTTTTTTTTTTTTTTTTGGGTAATTTTCTTTGGTTTTTCCAAAAACTTGGTAGAGCTTACATTTTCAATAATATTGATTTAAAAAAATTTGTTTTATCATTTGTCTTAAGTCTTTGTTTTACATCAGTAAGCGTTTTTTTTGTTTGGTTTTCATTTGGGTATTTTTTCGGTATATTTTCGTATTTTTCAGTATTTTTTGTTTCTTGTTTTCTTTGGGGCTGTTGTGTGTTGGGTTCCCAACAACGTTTACTTTGCTTACATAACATGTAAATGCCAAAAAAAAAACTCTTCTTCCTGCCTCTCCCTCTCCCTGGCATATACTCGTACTATACATAGTTACAATAGGTTTTATGTATATGTATCTCTGTTTAAGTGTAGGTAATACTTGGTAGAAAATGTTTTTTGCTTTATTTACTTTGCTTTTCATTCAATTTTGTTGTTTTTTTTTTTCTTTTGATTTCTTGTCTTGCGGGGTGAATGTAAGAGTTAATAATGTCAGCTTCGATTTGGATGGTTCTCTTTGTTCGGCTTCTCAGGGCGCTTACGAGCGGTGGGTTAGTTGCACGCACACACACACACACACACACACACACACAAAATACCCTTGCAGTATTGTAATTGTAGCAATCTAGTATTATTTCTCTTAATTTGGCCTGTTTATGAACAGGAAACGGTTGGAATGGAACACTTATTCCTTGTTCCTTTTATGGACATTATGTAAGCTTTACAGAAGTCCCAAAGTCCCGTAAGACCTGTATAGCATGTATATAAAAATATGGTGCAGCTGCTGGCAGCGCATTTATTAAGCGGAATGCATGAAAATGGAACACCATATTATTTGAGTTAGCCAAAAAAAGTGTTCATTTATTGTTGGGTTTGGGATGAGAAGACTTTTTGAGCCCAATATTAGCTAGTTATGCATTTGAAACTTGTAAGCGCTGGCTGTAGGTCATTTATTAGGTGGAATTTGTGGAAACGGAACACGATATCATGCGGATGGCTTGGAAATAACATATATCTTTGGAATACTGCTCTTTGGAATATGTACAATAGGTTGGAATTCGGTATTTAGCATATAGTTACAACAATATAGAAAGATATATATGTGTATATATTGATGAGAGCTGCAAGAGTATTGCAACTTCGGCTGGCCAAAGTTTGTCTGTTCTCTGTGCAATTTTGTTTTGAATTTAGTTTTTTGTTATTTGTTTTTCGTTATTGTTCTTTTCCAATTTAATAACGCCGACCGCTGCCGCTGCTGCCACTGGCACAGCCGCCGTCGCTGCTGCCGCTGGCGCCGTCGGCGGCCCAACGCTTCCGCCTTGCCTCCTTGGCCGCCTGCATTTGGGCGGCAACGCGGCTGGTGCTGGGCGCCATATCAAAGCTGGCGTACAGCTCCACCTCGTCATCGGTGGCGTCGCGCGGCGCCTGTTGCACCTGATTAAGTTGTTGTTGCTGCTGCAGTTGTTGCTGTTGTTGTTGATGTTCGAGGGCAACGGCAACGGAGGCCATCGCATAGGCGCGCGCATCCAATTGGAGGGTTATGCCGCTCGCAACGGTGCTAGTTATGGTGCCGCCGCCAGCGGCATTGGGTGTGAAAAGTCCGGCGGCATAGTCGGGCGTGCGCGCCATTTTTGCGTTGGTTGCGGCAGTGTTTGGGGCTAGCGCCAGCGGCTGTTGATCCAAATCGAAACTCACATTCTTACTGTCTCATCCACCCCGGTGGACTTGCACGGTGGCCTCGGCGGACTCCTGCTGTCGCAACTGCTGACGGTACGCATCCAGCTCGGGCATCCGATAGGTGCCGAGATTCACCTGCACCATGAGCGTCTCCATGATCCTCTCGTTCTTCATCGATTTTGATGGCAATACAACGGTGAGCAGTTCGCTGGGCGAGATGCGGCACAGATTTAGATCGCGCGTCAGTCGCTCCATGATGCACTCGAACTCGAATTGTGTGTCCTTATTGGGATGATTCTTGAGCTTGGCAACCTTGTGCTGCGCCCAGGCGAGCATCGCCTCAAATTTACGTATCTCCGGCGTTTGCAGCTCCCGGCACATTATCATCTGCACCATCGACTCGGACAGATGGAGAAATTCGGGGCATTTGAACAGCGCATGCGCCTTGCTCTCCACGAACGACAGTATCATGTTGACCAGCTCGGAGGCGGATGTGTAACGCCAGTAGTAGTTCTCCAGCGAGATTAGCATCGGGCAGACGACCTCGATGCGCAGGAACTGCTTGCAGTGATGGAAGCACGCCTGCAACAGCTCTGGCAGATCATAGTGCTCCGCGGCGCAGAGCAGACCTATGAAAATGTCACAGAAATGTTTAACAATTTGTGTTAATATAGTTAACTTTCCCTTTTCCTAATCAATTATCTATTTTCTATTTCACTGGTTTCCATTACAATTGTTTTCATTCGTTTCAATTCCGCTTGTTCCTCCTCTATCAGTGCAAGTTGTCTCCTATACTTCCTAATCCGCATAAATTTCTTATTCACTTTTGCTATATTGTACTTGAAACATCCTTCTGCTTCTCATACATTTTCCATGCTTGTTTTTATTCTCTTTTTTTCCAATATTGTACTCAAATTTGTTCTTAGTCTCTATGGTCCGATTCCGAATGTTCCCTGTTGTTATGCCTAGACTTGTTTCCTACTTTTAATTATATTTTAAATTCGACTTGTTGCTACCCTTTTCTTATTTGTTTTCTTTCCAAAAAAAAAAAACATTAAAATCAGGTGACGAGATTAATTTCTGATACTCATACTCATACTTATAATAATTCTCTCTGCTACCAAAATTTTCTTTCTACTCGCTTATGCTTCAATTTCTCTTTGCTACTTTTTTCCTTTACGTAGGGGCAATACCACCAAAATGTTCTTTGTTTTTGCATGTGTTTCATTTCCAAGTGCTCCCTTCTCAACTTTGTTTGCTTTACGTAAGGGAAATACTACTAGAATGTTGTCAGTTTTTGCATATGTTTCATTTCAAAGTGCTCCATTTTCAACTATTTTCCATTACGCAAAGGCAATACTACCAAAACATTCTCTGCTCTTGCGGTTGTTTCAATTCAAAGTGTTCCCCTTTCTAGCATTTCCACATGAACTATTGATTTGCTTACCTGGTATCGAGACACAGGTCAGTGGACAGGTGCCCGTGTGCAGATAGTCCAGGAGCACACGAAACGTATCCGGATCGAATTCGATAATGTTGAATTCCGTTTGGGCTAGCTTGGCCCGGTCCACCTTTTGGGCGTCGGCGCAGACGGAGAGCCGGGGCATGGCCAATTGATTGTTGCCCGGCTTGTCCTTATCCTTGTCTTTACTATCTCTGTCTGTCAGGTTTGGAAGTTGATTTTTTTCGGCGTATGTTTTTTTTTTTGTTTTGTGGAATTTCGGTATTTTGGTATTCGGTTGTCGTGAAATTTTTTATTTATTTTTTTTTTTTTTTTTTTTTTTTTGGTTGAAGTTGGTTTGTGAACGCGAAATTATTAAATTAAACGCAAACGAAAACCATCAAATAAAATATGAATAAAATTTAATTGCGAAATTAAATAATTGCGGTCAGTTTTGCGGTTGGGAATATCGCACGGTTATTAAGAAATCAATATCCAAATAAATAGCGTTAATTGATTTTGGTAAAGCGAGACAAAGATGGAGCGAGAGACGGGTGTGGGGGATGGCGGTTGGGTAAGCGTGTTTGATGAAAAATGACAAGAATTTCGATTTTTGTTTAATTAATTTAATGAAATTTGTATTTGTATAGTTTGTATTGTTATTCAATCAATTTTAAATATGGTTTGAACGCGTTAGATTGGGAAGAAAGAGAGAAAGAGAGAGAGAGAGAGAGAGAGCGAGAGAGGGTAATTGTTGCAGTGTGGTGAGTTGTGCAAATTGTTTAGTATGTCCAAATTTAAAGAATTTCAAGCAAATGCGATACGTTATAATTTTATAAATATATTGGGAGTTTGCATGTTTTGCGGTGGTGAATATGAAAGTGGTGAGTTGAATGGCATGAGAGTTGAATATAGTCAGTTGCGGTGTGTGTGTTGAGTATGGTCTTGGAAAATATGTATGGTGAAATATGGATGATGATGTAAAATGTGTTGAGTTTGTGTTGAGTTGAGTTTATCGATATGCGAAACATGTGCGTTGGAATTCCATTTGTGCAGTATTATTTATAGTTTCAGATATGTTGAATATTAGCAGAAGTATTTAATAACGTCGTGTGTGTGGAATTGAAAAATTGTTGGAGCAATATTTAGTGGGAAACATTGACGGAAATAGGATATGTTTATGATATTAGCCGATTAGAATTCCGATTATGGTGGTGGTGAGTTCAGAGAGGTGGGAGTGCATTAAGCGGTTGATACCGTTAGCAGGACACGTCCAAGGTATTTAAGGCAAGGAATGCCAATAAAAAGGAAGCATATAAGCAAAATAATTGGCATAAGTAAGATACAATAAAAAAAAAAGAAAAGAAAATAAGAATTTGTTGTTGGTGGAAAAGATTCGGTATGCAAAACAACACGATAAAGGACAAGAACCATAACGCCGAACAGAACGTGAACGACACCAGATGAGCCCGAATGCGTTTTATACAATTAACATATGGACAAATTACACATCACATAATAATATATGTACATATAATATATGTATATGCATATATCATATATAGAGTACGCAGTTGGATAGTTTGTGAGGTAGTTAAGGCGTGCGACGTGCGTTATTTGCGATTTGATTTCGTTTTTAGCCAAGTTGTTAGCAAGTATTAGTGGTAAAACAGGCAGTTACGAAGTTACGTAGTACGTAGGAGCGGAGCCAAGGCGTTATTTAGTAGTTAGTGGGTGGTGTGTGTATATATTAGGAAAATCAGGTACGTTTAACAGAAAGAGCACAAAAAACGGAGAGAGAGAGAGAGAACAAATAGAGAGAGAGAGAGAGAGAGAGAGAGAGAGAGAGAGCGAGAGAGAGAGAGAGAGAGAGAGGCAAAAGAGAGAAAGAAAAAAGAACACGCATCGATATTGTTGCATTGCATTGAAAGAAAACTCTTACTCGAACAATCTGTCGATGATATCCACTTCTTTTTATCATCCGGATTCAATTGATTCGTATTCTTATTCCGTATGGAACGACCCCAGCCGGCCGTGATCGTGCCAAGGCGCGAGAACGCCCGCTTAACCATCGGCGATGAGGGCACACTTTTGGGTCGTATGGAATCGGAATCCGGTACGGTTAAATAGTTGTTACTTTTCGGCTTTTGATTCTGCGGCGAGACCAGCGACGGCGCTGGCCGTGCAAAGATCTCGGCAACGGGTATCTGCGGTGATCCAAAGCCCGTCTGTATGCCATAAAGCATTTCCTATATATACCAAAAATTCCATACATAAAACTTTGAACTTTTGAGAACCGCCAAAACTCTTCTTACCTGAAAGACGCGACTGCGCACACCTAGTATGGCGCGTACCCCAATGAGACGCGCCTTCTGCTTGGACTGGCCCACCAGAAAGACCACATCGAACAGATGGGCATTTGTGAGGCACGATGGCTCGTCGTTTAGAAATACACGCGTAAAGTCCTTGGCCAGCTGATCGTAATCCTCGAACTGATCCCTTACCGAATCCAGCAGCGGTGACGATGGTCGCATGTGGCCTATGTAAAGAAAGGAATACGTCAAGAATTACATTACGTATATGTGTGCTTTGGGATGATATATTATGTTTGGAGTTATGGATACGAATTAATGAATTAAGAGTTAGCTTATGACAAATAAATAATACTCGTATATATTTAGAGAAACATGCAATTCTTTATTCTGATGCGACTTTGGCATGAAAAACATACCGTTTGTACATTTAATTTCAAGTACATGACTTTCTCGAATGTACCTAAACTAGATAGGAATCAAACTTGATCTCAAAGCGTCTAGGCTGAGCCTATTTGAGAGCTTCAAAGCAATCGATATACTATCGAATAATATCTTTGACATGAAATACTGTACATTTGTACATTTAATATCACGTACATTTTCTTCTCGAGTGTACCTAAACTAGATGGGAATCAAACTAGATCTCACAGCTTGAAATGAGTTCAACAAAAAAAGTGTCTGAGTTGAGTTCATGTGAAAGCAGCAAATCAATCGATATACCATGGGTCTGATCGATTTCCTATCGAATAATGTCTTTGATATGAAATCCAAACTATTTTTACTTTGAACTTCGAGTACATTTCGTTCTTGAATCCAACTTGATTTCAAAGCTTGGTTTAGTCTAAGAAGAGTCAAAGTTTAGTTTATATATGAGCTAAAACTATCGATATATTATCTAGTATTATCTTCATTTTTCGTACATTACAATATCTCATAAAACTAAAATGATTTCATATTTGTTAAATGTATTCGAATTTAAATGTATTCCCTTTATCCTTGCAATATTATTATTTTCACGTAAATTACAAGGTTAATTATGCAGACATGAATTTCAGAGGGTTAAGTCTGGTTATGCCACAAATTTGTTCTTCTTCACATTGCTGTGGCTTAGCTTTTGTGGCATGTTAACTAGTGTTAATGTGTCGGGAACAGGCCCCTTTCGATGACAGCTTGGAACAAGCAAAAGACAGCTTTTAAAAATGGCTTGCATATTTGTGAAATATTCTCACAAACTTGTTACATCGCTCATTTTTGTTGTTGTTAGTGTATATTGTGGTTGGTGGTGCGTGGCAAATTAGCAAGCATGATCGACTATGAGATACCCTGCGCCAAGGTACACGCGATGCTTTGTAGGTTTCAATCAGCGATAGCTGGCTCAAACATTCTCTTAAATATATTATAAACATTATTATGAACATTTATATCAAATACGATAATGTATGTTAGCAAAATGTCTCAAAGTTGGGTTTCGACTTAAAGGGAACGTGCTCAACATTCTACATTCAAAAGTAGCTACCCTTATAATGCCATATGCTGATATACCCCCTATTAATCATGATGCGAGTACAGGGTATATGAACCCTTTGGCCTTTGCAGCTGGTATTTGGCTAAGCCGCAGCCACCTTCACCTGCTGCTCAATTGTAGCATAGCCCAAGTCTGCGTCTCGCGCGCGCTTATGTGTGTGTGTGTGTGTGTGTGTGTGTGTGAGAGAGGGAGAGTGTGTGAGTGTGTATAGAATGTGTGCCATCAATCATACACGGCTTGCTTGTATCTTGCGGATACGAAATACTTGCACATCTACATACAAATATGCCTAATGGGAGTTCTCGAGGTCGCAGCGGCCATATGCAAATTGTGTTACGATGCACTTGGCAACAGGCACCATTCATCTTGTGCAGAGGCCCAAAAGCATTGCCATTGGATTCGATTTCAATTCGATTCAATTCGATTCGATTCAATTGTTTGGTTTGCATGCAATGGTCGAAGTAACGACCTCACCTGCACCTGATATACCCTGAAAGGGTCCAACAAGGGGTATAAGATTTTTGTGCAAATGTATGCAACGGCCGGTAGGAAGCATCCAGAGAAATATATATGTATATACTTTCGATCGGATGTCTGTCAGAGTGATAGATCGAGTTTATTGCAAATAATCGATAACCCAACCCAAGAAATCGATAAATATCGATGTAAGGCCTTTTGGCCATATTTAAACAAGAACTTTTTAGACTCATATATGCTAAACAGAGATCCATAAAATGTTTATATTTAGAATCAGATAATTGTTGAGAATTGGACTATAAACATCAAAGCTATTCAAGGATACTCTTCCCATAGATTGAGTCTGAGGGAAAAAGCAGCACAATCGAGTGCTACTCTGTGTGTGTGCTTTTTTGCTTTTGTGTGTGTAGTAGCAGAAAACAAGACTGTTTGGTAACGGCAGCTCGTCGCTTGGTACTGGGTAACTTCAAGTCGAGCAATGCCGATTAGTGTACACTTGTTTATTCAACTTTCATTACATGTTTGCAGGTAAATGCTGGTTATTACCAACAAACACAAATACAAGTACACGTAAAAATTGCTAGTGTAATCAATGGCAGAGTTTATGAGCGGAACAGCCAGATTGGACCCATGTTTCATATACCTGACATGGGACAGATTCGACGAAAATATGGTTCTCCTTTAAATATGGCTTTCATATTTTGCTTTAAACATGAATTGACCCTATAAAGTATATGCAAGTATTTAAAGTCAAATCGATATAATCATGTGCGACTATCTGTCTCTCTGCTTGGACATAAAGCTCAACCTATATCATATAGAAAGAATCGCTCATAAAATGAGTTTCTATGAAATCAAAAAGCCTTCTGTTCTTCAAGATATCTACAATTACGAGACAAATGCATCTCACATAGCTGCAAGAACGTAGGCCATATTTTTGCTAGGGTATTCAAGGTTTGGTATGCCGCACTTTGTTCTTGTGTCTCTTTTGATTTGATATTAAAGCCGCTGTCACATTTGCCTATGGATCATCTAATTGAGTTGTCTTCAAGCTGCAGCTAAGGCGGTTGGTTGGTGGGAGGGGGGCTGGGTCGTGTCCTGGTTGGGGGTAGTGTGTGGAACTACTCAGCAGGGATCGCACCGCATCCCCAGTGTGTCCACAGAAGCTATCAATCAATAATTTGCATTATTTTAATATGCATAACTAGTTCGAGTGTGCGTTACGCATATTGGGCGCAATGGGGGCAAAGGGGGCGGCAGAGATACTGGACGCCTGGCCCATGGCTGTCAATTGGCCAACACCTACGCGGCTGCGTGTGTGTGTGTGTGTGTGTGTGTGTGTGTGTGTGTGTGTGTGTGTGTGTGTGTGTGTGTGTGTGTGTGTGTGTGTGTGTGTGTGTGTGTGTGTGTGTGTGTGTGTGTGTGTGTGTGTGTGTGTGTGTGTCTGTGTGTGAGTGTGGATTGTGCCTCTGCTGTGCATGAATAAATCAAATTAGATTTGTCTTGTTTAATGCAACAAATAAATAACAGAAAATCTAAAACAAATCACAACAACAACAACAGCTCCCAATAGGATGGGCAGACAGAAGGCGATGCGGGTGTGCTTGTATGCGTGTGTGTACGTGTGTGTGTGTGTGTGCTCGGCTGTGCTAAGACGCAAAAGATTGACCGCAGCAGATAAAATGTACAACATTTCATGCCGGACAACTTAAGATTCGCGCTAAAACCAGGCGAAACAGCGCCAGAGGAGGGGCAGGTGGATGCGTGTCATGTGTGTGCAAAAGTTGTGACGGGAGGAGTGGCGGGGGGGGGGGGGGGGGGGGGTCGGGCAAGGCTATCCTGTGGCAGCAAACAGATTGTGTTGTAAGATTTGTCACAGCATGCCACAGAGGCTGCGCAGCGCAATCGCGTCGCGTGCAAACACAGGCGGATGTGTTAATGGCGGAAACGGAAGTGTAAGCGCGTATGTGTGTGTGCGCGCGTGTGTGTGTGTGTTTGGCCTGGCATGCGGAAGTGCTGCAACAACAATGGCAACGACAAACAGCAGCAACAACATGGCAAAACGATTAATCATGCAGAGTCGAGAGTCAACAAAGTGAAATGCTGCTGCAAATAGCTGTCAAAGCAGCGGCAGCAGCTGCCACGCCCACAAGCAGCCCGCCCATTTAACAGGTGAAACATTTAAATAACTGACTGTGGGTAGATGTGTGTGTGTGTGTGAGTGTGTGAGTGTGTAAGTGTGTGTGGGTATACACATACTATGCCTCACACAGAGGTGCATCACAGAGGCACAGCACAAATTGCAGCGAAGTTGTTGTTGTTGTTCTTGTTGTTGCTGTTGCTGTTGGCGTTGCTCAGCGTTGTTGTTGCTGTTGTTATGTTTAGTGTGTGTGTGTGTTGTGCCCAGTGCCAGCTGCTGCTGCTGCTGCTGCTGCTGCTGCTGCTGCTGCTCGTTGCAATTACAATAGCAACAGTTGTTCATGTGTTCATGTTGTTGTTGGTATTGTTGTTGTTGTTGTTGTGATCTGTTGTTGTCTAGTACTCTGGCATGCAACATTTTGAAATATTCATCCTCACCAATGGGCCGCCAGGAGCCGCGTCTATATGGCTTCGGTATTTGACCAGTTTCAGCATGATTCGATAGATTCATCACCAGATCCTCGAGCATCTGTGAGCGCGTCCGCTCCTGCATTCTGGCAAATTTTGGCGCCGAATACGAGGCGCGCTCGCCATTTACAATTTTCGTTAGCAGCCACTCGCTAAACAGAATATGCTCTTTCATATAATCATTTACAATTGGATTAAGCCGCTGTTTAACACTTACCGAAACATTGGCCCCTTCTCGAAGACCGACTGCTCCCATAGGTAGGGCTTGTAGGCGCCCACCTCGTCGCGTGTGACCACAGATACCTCGTAGCGTGTGGGCTTGTGCTTAATGCGCGCTGAGACACGCACCTGTATTTCGATTGTAGACAAAAACAGAAAGAGAGAGTGAGGGAGTGAGGGAGAGAGAGAAAAGTTTCATACAGTGGTCGCTCGTTAAAGAGAGATCCCGTCACGCTGCCAAATCACAATTATATCACTGCGTTTTTTTTCCGATTTCCCTCAACTGTCGGTCAACTAACATCGCTTGTCAATCAATCAGCGTTTGAACCGGCGACCTTTCGCTTGTCGATCCGACGCTTAGATACTTGGCAAAGCCAACTTTTAGCTCAGCGTTGTTATTTAAGGTTTTTCAAGCCAACTTCGACCATCGACTTTCCACTAACCCCGTGCTTTTCACTCGCGTATAAGGAAAGAAAGCCTCGCCTCCAAGTTTAGCTGTTCGTTGATCACATGTGAATCAGTCAGTCAGGACACACTATTTATATTTATAGAATATAGATATAAAATTGTATGTCCAGACTGACTAACATACATTGAAGACAGCTCATGCAGACTCATGCAGACTCATCAGACTCAAATGTTGGCTTACCAGTATGAAGGTGTGCAGAAAATGACTCTTGATGCAGGCGGGACTGAAGCGGGTGTTGTCCGCTTCGAGGAATACGACACAGACAATATCGTTGCCGATATGGCGTTTGCGTTGAAGCTTCTGTGGGTCATGTTTCTCGTAGGGCAACAGCGTGGACACATGGAACATGATCTCAATGTTGCGCCAGTTCGTATAAACGGAGAATAGACCTGAGCGCCAGATGCATAGTATATAAAATATACATAAATAGTATTAATGTGTGTAAAGAGAGAGAGAGAGAGAGAGAGAGAGAGAGAGAGAGAGAGGGGGAGTTTAAGGTAGTTGGGGGCTTGTCGAGCTGTCTCTCACCTGTGAGGTCATGCACCGTATCAAGGCCACCTTTGTATTTGTCGAAGCCGCGTAGGCGAACGCGATCGCCGAGCAGCGTGAGGAACTCATCGAAGAGCGGTGAATTTTCATTATTGTCCAGAATTTGCTCTTCGCTATATTGTTCCTCTTTGACGAATATGACGCCGACTTTTAATTCGGATTTTATAAAAACCTTGAGAAAAGAAAGTTGCCCAATGAGTTGACATATAAGCTAATGCCGTTGCTCGCACGCACCTGATCTAATTTTAATAATTCCTCGGGCGTATCGGGCAATTGTCCTAAGGTTAATGGTGGATTTAAATTAACTTCTTTACCTAAAGATCTAACTACCTCCTCGCGATTATATCTAAAAAAAAAACAGAAATGCATTTCAGTTTTGTTAAAATGTTGTTTCGATTACTCTCAAGCCCGGAGTGCATCTTACCTATCGGCAAACACACAGGAGGCCGGTATCAGTCCATGCACCGTGTAGGAACCGGCGCGCACGAGTATACGAAACTGATCCCGTCCATTGAGCGTCTCCTGTTTGATGGAGAGGATAACGGGGCCCAGATCCTCGTCACTTGTAAAATAATTCCAATGCTCAGTGCCATAAAAGTATTTCTCGTATGTCTCCTGCTCCACAGAGATTAGCTCAAAGGCGCCCTGCTGGTCCCATTGCTCCTCAATGGTTGTTTTTTTGCGCGGACTGGGCGTTGCCTCCGAATCCTCATCGTCCTCATAGAGGTCACTGCACTCACGCTCCAAATACGCATCGCTGGCACTTCCAGCGCGTATATCCTCGTGCTCCGAATCGCTCTCATCCCAAATCGTATGCGGCGTGGGCAGCGTTATTTTCTGTCGTGAACACTCTATCCAATAGCCAGGTGTGGGCATCAAATTATGCGGATACTCCTCGCAAAATTCATCTGCAGCGACAAGAACAAGGGCGATATTTAAATTAATTGAGCTCACTTTGCATAATCTACTATTCAAACATATTTGGGGGAGAATATTGGCAAATTGGCTTAATTAAAAGCGAGCGATTTGCCCCCGATTCTCAGTGCAAGACACATTTTTATGTCTTATGAATGAACTTTGAGAACAGCTGCTTGAGTTGTGTTGAATTTAAATGCTGAACTATTGTTTGACCTCAGTTTTCCGATTCAGCTTCACCTTTATTTATACACCTTGCCTCAATCCCCGTATATTTTACTATAATCCATCAACTGTTTTGAGGAAATGTGCAAAATCTATTGATTAGTTTTACTTTTAAGAAGCCCTTATTCCATTATTGAGTATATCTTATTATTTAGTATATCATTATCATTAACCTTATTCCTATCTCTTGAAGGACAGCTACTTTAATTAGGTTCTTCTTGAATAGTTCAACTAATACCTTGTGTTTCCCACATTGCCAACATTACTACGCACTTTATACTTCAGTTGAGCATTGTTAAATATGTACACTAATTGGACACATCCTATCATTCACATCTTACAATTGTTGGCACAAGCTGAGAAACTCAGTCGAATGCGCCCGCCTCCCGACCATTGTAATGCCAACTCACCTAAGACCCATCAGTGCCAACTTCAAGTGGGAGCAAAACCGATTAAGGCATAGCCTTCAAATGCTGGCATAGTCCTAACAATGATTGCAGTTGCCTTTGTTTTGGTTGTTGCCCTGATTTGGTCTGCCGCCGCCTCCTTTGCCCCTTGTCATGCCAGACAACAGATGAGTGAAGCCAACTCGAAATGCCACATTAAGTGCAATCGATATGTGTTACTGCAACTGCATCTGTTACTTTACTGCAGTTGTATTGTTTAGAGGTAGGTCAAGCAAGTGCTTGGATTAATAATCCGACTGTTTTTGTAGTCATTAGAATCGAAGATATTTCGTAGAGATTTATTTGCAATTTTTGTTGTGCATAAAATATTAACCAACTGGAAACTTGTTTAATTCTCTCAAGTACTCAAACAACTGCATATCCAATTAGTATACTCGTAAAGTTTGTTAGCAAATATTGAAAATTAAATACTCTATTGATTTTAGCCAGAGATCATTTGAGTATGGTCTAGCATCTGAATACATAAAATGTTGGTTGGTTGGCATAGAACATATTACGATAAATATTCATATATAGATAGGACATGCAGTACAACCAGAGTGGGCACACACAAATCGACGACATCAGGTCCAAAATCGCGAGCAAGAGAGTAAGATATACATATGATGTCTTTTTATTCGCTTACACTGCGTGAAACTGCTTTGGCTCACTCTCTTCCATATGATTTGTGCAATAGAACGGCATTGCTCTTTTTTTCTTCATCTCGCTCCCACTTACTCTCAGTGCTCTCAATGCGCTCTCTTTTCGTTTTGGGATCATTTAAATGCGAGTAATATGAAATAATGAATGGGTTTTCCACGTCGATGCGAAATTCTTGCATTTTAAATCGTAGGAAAGTGATCATCATAAAAAATACTACATGCCTTTAAATTACATGGTATGCAGAGACAACATATATTTCACTTTGCTTGAGCTCTTCACATTGCAATAAAAGTGAAAGAAAATAACTTAGTTTGTTTCTGACAGTTGAAATCCTCAAAAGTTCTTGTTACGTGCGGTTGCTGTGGCAAGTTGTTGGCTTTGCCAGTTGAAATGGCAACCAAATTGCTATAAACATAATAATTTAGTGCAATTCAATTAAAATGCAAACACCGCAAAGGCAGCAAGCGGTCTATGGCAAGGTGAGCTGAAGCAGCAAGAGCAGCTGCCACATGAGCCGTAAATGGCGCAAAGATTCAACCACTGATTGAGCTGGAAATTTGATGCGGCTGCCCAATTTGGCTGCGTTCTATGGCGGTAGTTGGGAATTTGATAGACCAGCTCTATTGGCAGCCTGTGCATAATGTGGCAAGACATGTTAGGCAGGTTGCGCGTTCTTGCCAATAATATGCTGTGTGGCAGCAACTATGATCTAATTAAGGCTCGCGCTTACCGCAGCATCTAGCAAATGGCATGTGGCATGTGGCATGTAGCATGTAGCATGTGTCGTTGTTGTTGCATACTTTTAAAAGCAAGGCGCACAGCTGCTGCCCAAGCGTTGGACGAGGGCCTCTATAGCTAAACACACACACGCACACACACAGGGCAGTTATGCACACACACACACACACACACACACATATATATATATATATATATATATATATAAACACTCACAAACAGAGACAGCCATAAAACAACAACATATTGTGGCCGCAGAACCTGCTGCCGGAGACGGAAACGTTCCCTGTTTCAGGGCTTGCTGTTGCCTAATTCAAATTTGAAAAGCTCGCAACGTGCGCCGCTAAGTAGGCTATGAATTTGGCCACTGTTGACGCGGCTGCTGCTGCCCTCTTTGCTGTTGTTGTTGCCTGTTTTGCGGTTGTGCCGGGCGCTTCTTCCTCTTACCCAAAGCCACAAACGCGTTTCGAAAACGCAAACATTTTCCAAACTAGAAAGGCTTATTTTAAGCCCATTTAGTAACTAGCAAACTATTTGCAAACAAGCCTGTTGTGGATAAGAGACTGATTGGCCATCAGATACCCTTTAGCACACCCCTTGGCAGTGAATAGGTGGAGAATTCTTTTCATGTATCCGAACGACCATAAAATAGGGTATGCAAAAGGAATATTTATTTTTTTACAGGGTATTTGATGTGGCCTGCGTTAGCAAGTTTCTGGTTTAACCAGTGCTGACTGTGCATGGGCTTGGCCTGGTACTTTCCACTGTGCAGGCTTACCCAAAAATATTTGATCAAAATTGGTTACACAACGGCAATACCGGCCCTTCACCTGGCCCCTTCCCCCAACTGAACACGGGCAGTGCCCTCACATTATATTTTTAGGCTGCGCCATTATGAGCTTTTCAGATGAATTGGATTTAACATGAAAAATGCATGATTATGCAATGCCACGCCCCTCGTCCGCTGTCAGCAACATAAATGTTCTTTTGATTTCCATTTGAAGCTGACTAAAGGATTGCAGCTGCAGTTACCGGTGAGGGGGGGGGGGGGGGGGATTGGGAGATGGAAATGAAGTTGGCGAAGTTTGAACAGGAAGATGTCCAGAGCTATTCCAAAGTTTATTCCTTACTTATTTTCGCTTTCAAAGTAATTCGATACATTTCCAATAGACTAGATATGGCCCGAGAGTGGGGGGGGGGTTCATCATATATAGCCATTCCGTTTATATCTTAAGCTCGATGCAGGGAAATAGACAAATCTCTGGGCCGGCATTTCATTTGCCATTTGCTCGGCTGTCTGTCAGCGTTGACACTTTTACGCCGTAATTCGGCTGTGCCCCACTTCTAGCCCCCACCCCTCCGCTGACCGCACGCCGTAAAATGTCGAACATTAAACCAATTGGCCATTATGCTACGCTCTGTTGCCCCCAAAGCCGAAGCTGGACTGGGTTTATGGCTACGTCCATCAATCATATGTCTAAAAGTGATGCGCGCCACGTGTTGGCAGCCCAACGATTTCCGATGACGATGGCGATGACGATGTCCCCGGAGAAGCGGCCACAAGTTATCACCCACAAAAGTTATCGAACACTCTAATGTATGGGCCGCACTCAATTTGCATTGGCGCCAGTTCCTAATGCGTTTTGCGTTTGGGATAAAACCGCAAATTGAATCTCTAAAGTGCGAGCAGCCCCCCTCAATGTGCGTGCGTGCATATAATGCTAAATAAACTTTTATGCAGAATTAAAGAATTACATCTAGCCCAGGCCGACGAGTTTTTTGAGGGCGTGAGTTTTTAATGCCCCAACAGAGTGGCACATATTTCACAGAGTCATATTCGCAGAGTGCAGCACAGCGAGAAGCTGTTATATTCTGAGCGATAAGTAATGGTTGGGGTAAGCATGGTCGACCATTTTGCTATGCTGCTTTGTTTCTTTAAAACACTCTGTTTCTCGCTTTACTTCTCTTTTGGGCATTAGCTTCGCGCTTCATACTCCGTTTTCAGCTGAGCTCTTGTTATAGCTCTCGCTTCTCGCTGTATTTATAGCTGAGCTCTAGTTTTGGCTTTCGCTTCTCGCTGCACTTACAGCTAAGCTCTAGTTCTGGCTTTCGCTTCTCGCTGCACTTATAGCTGAGCTCCAGTTTTAGTTTTTACTTCGCGCCGCATTTACAGCTGATCTCAAGTTTTGGCTTTCGCTTCTCGCTGCATTTACAGCTGAGTTCCAATTTTAGTTTTTGCTTCTCACCTTAATAAGCTTGCACTTTTTGCTTCACTTCTCTATTCTTTTTGCAGCTTAAGCTTTTCGCTAAGCTATCGTTTATCTTTTGCGTGTTAGCTCTCATGTCTATTCATATCATTGTTTGTGTATTTCTTGGCTTCAAAGTTCGCTTCTCGCTTTAGCAGGTGTTAAGCGTTTGTGTTTTCCATTCGCTTCTCGCTTATGTTTCGCTTGTTGCTTCTTTTTGACTAGTATATTTTCTTGTCTTTAATTTTCACCCTAATCTTACACTTTTGCTACTTTACAAACTTATTTGATGCAATTCAATTTGTCGCTTCTCGCTTGACTTTTCATTCAAGGCGCGTTTTTCGCTGCAGCTTATTTATTTAACAGTTAACTTGGTTTTTATTTTCAAACTTAAGTTCTTTCTTTACTTTTAATTGGTTTCTCGCTGCCGCTTAAACTTCTAGAGAAGCTGACAGCTCTTTGCGCAAGTTTACTTCTTGTTTCACTTCCTGCTTCTTACTTCGCTGCCCGCCTAGATCTAGGCAGCTTTTCTTTGGCTGATTACGGCACACAATTGTAGGCTTGAATCAATTTCCCATTGCTAAAACCTTCAAAATAGCCTCATTGTCGGCTACGACTGGCTCCACTCAACAGAGCTCATTTTCATTTTAGATCTTGTGATGTTCGGGTCGAAAACAAAAATTTAGAAACCATACAAACCGAAGAGAAAATATGTTTCAAAAGAAAAAACGAAAATAAAACAGAAAAATGGTTTTAAAGCAAACACAACTTCGATAATGTCTTGGGTAAGTTGGGCCAATTGTTGTTAGATATTCAATGTCATCTTTTCTCTAAAGGACAACTACAGAGTTCGAGCACATTGAAGACGTTAGGGTTTTAATGCAAAATTCATAGAACGGCATCGACACAATTGGCAAGTTACTTATACACTATACAAAATGTTTACTTGTTCTGGTTAATGATTGACTATGATTGACTATGATTGACTACGATTGATTACGATTGATTCCAATTGATCATCTGGGGGCATAATGCACAATATGCCAAGGGAGGCTTTTCAACTTGTGAGTATGCTCCACAAATATTGAAATGGGAATACCCTCAACTAAAAGTCCTGAAATTTTTGCAGTGAGTGTTGAATAACGTTGAAATGTTGAACGAATTTCTTTTCAAGGTTTTTCGTTTATTGATTCCAATGTATTGTTAAATAAAATGCAATGGAAATGTAAATAAAAAAAAAAAAAATTCAAAAAATCGAAAAAGCCAAAATCTTGCAAAAATCTTTTCTTGAACTGTGGACCTCAAGCAGAAGGCGCGACTGAGCCAAGTATCGCTTAAATTTTCCGCTGTCAACATATAAATATGCCAAACATTTTATGTCAGCTGCTGTAGCGCTGCGGGCGCCTCAATTCGAGCGATGCCTGTGGCAAGCGCGTTACGTATACGCCGCATGGGTCGCACTGATAGCTGTATATCAATCACACATTCCATCAACTGTTATTAACATACATGAAATGCAGTTGCGGTAAGTGGCATGTGGCATGTAGCATGTAGCATGTGGGGCTGTGGCAACTTGCAAGTGACAGGTGAGTACGAAAACGTGACTCGGCCCTCCCAATGCTCCTTCAACTCGCAGATGGAGCTGCATCTTTTCGCCGTAAATCCAACAGCGACTCGTCAATGTCAAATTCTATTTGTTATTTATATATTTAAATTTTAGTCGCGGCTAAGCTTCTAAATTAATTTCGAATAACTCATCATGACAGTCATAAATCTTTCAAAATGAATTTGTTTTAAATAGATTTTAGTCGGGGTTTGGCTTCTAGACCAATTCGTTTCTTAGAATTTACTTTTAATTCTTTTATAATCAGACAAAGTTCGCAATTCACACAGTTTTTATATTCTAACCTGTTGATCAATCATTTTGACTCTTGATATTAGCTTGTAAACCTTTTTTTTAGACCTCAATATGAAGATTGAAGAAAACTGGACGTGTGCTTGCCGAATCCTTTCTCAATGTTTTCAACTTCTAAAGCTCTGCAAAAGTATTCGGAAATCTCTCTTGATATCAATATGGTGGCATTTTATTAATTTGATTTAATTTTGTGCTTAGGAATTCGTGGATAAAACATTTCTTTAAAACAAATTGACATCGTTTTTCATATTGCTTGAACTGAGAAGGTCTTGAAATAATATATATATACATAATACATATATGCTCAGCTTTTTGTGGCATGCTGCATGTTCAATTTGGATTTGGGTTTCTTTTAAAAATCATTTTTATGTAATTTAGTCTATTCAAATTCGTAGAAATCTGCACGAGAGCATTATGTGGCAATCTTTTGGGGCACTCGCTGTTTGCGACGCCATTCAAAGGATTTCCGCTTGCGCAACGGGAGGGGAGGGTGCATGTGGTGGTAGGCGTGGCTGCCACGCAGCTTTGGCTGTGGCCGTGGTTGTGGCTGTGGGCATGATGCTTCTGTTGTTGGTCGCGTTTTTGTCGGTTTGATGGCCGCAATGTTGCCTTTGTGAGCAGCCCCTGCAAAACAATGCAAAGCAGCTGACAACAACACGCACTTAACATGGCTAACAACTGCAAGAACAACTAGCTGCAGCTGCCACATTATGTTGCCACGTTGCAATGGCACACCCTGCCCCATGCACACATTGGCATTCAATGTGACCTTAGAGTGCTGAAACAGGTGCTTCTCTCAATGGGGAAAGACACAATGAACTGCGGAATGCATGCAACACGATGTTGTAAGTGCAACTAGTAGTTACCTTTTATGACGTAACCCAATACTGAGACGCCCTTCTGCAAATGCTTTGCGAACAGCTCAAACAGTCAAAGCTAATTTTCTATCCAGAGCTCGCTGAACTGTTTCTAAGGTATTCTAATTTAAGGCTGATTTAGATGAAGGATAGCCGCATCTTAGCCAAAATTAATATGGTAAGTGGTTCGGACCAACTTGGACCAACTTGTGGCTGCCTGCTCTAATGAAAATATATTTTCTATATCTATATTTCCAAATAGAATTTTTGTGCTAGACAAGATTGTCGTCTACCAATGAGTAAATAGATAAATGCACTAGTTGGAATAGTTTTATTTTTGCTAAGATATGATATCGTAGCTTACAGTTTGAAAGCCATTAGCTTGGAGTTTACAGTTTGAGAGTGAGCAAGCTCACACACACAGAGAAAAAGCAGGCGCTCTTTCATGTTTGTGCAGCTTTAAATGGCACGCAATGTTTCAACTTGTTTTAAGTTCTTTTAAGTTTTCACAAGTTGGAAACTGTTTAAGGAAAACTTGATTGAAAATCTTTTTCATTTTGCAAGCCTGCACAAGTGTTCCGATTCCGCGTGTTCCTGCATTGCAACAGTCCAGGTTGTGTTTTTTTTGTATGATTGAATTCTTTTTGGCCTCCATTAAATAAATCTTGAATAATTGTTAGACATGTTTGATTTCAGTTTTGATTTGCTGTTGCCTGTTTTTTTTTTATTATTATTGTTTTTTTCCTTTGGTGGTTTCAGCTTTCGCGAGTTGGGTTCTATCGCGACGGGGCCATCAACTTTGTTCATTGCATGAGAATTAAGTGCCACAATCCTCGTCATTGTCATTTTACAAGGGGTGGGGGAGGGATAGGGGGGGGGGGCGGGTTTCCCAAAGCCCAGCGACAAGTCAAGGAGCACATTTGACTTTTTTATCTTTTCTTTCTATTTGAATTTGTTGCGCATCGTTTCGCATTTCGTTTGCTTTTTTTTCGCTTATTTTTTTTTTATATATTATTTTTTTTTGTTGTTGCCGTTTGTTCTTTTTTTGTTGGGAAGGGGGCGTGGTTTTTAGCGGGTTTTTTTTTTTTTTGCAGTTTTTGTTCGCATTGATGTTGCCTCCTCCGGCAAACGCCGGTCGCTCCCTGGCCCTTGGGCTGAATATATGTCTGCCTTTTGGTTTATTTGTACTCTTGATGCTCGTTCAGCCTAAATGGAGGACACTTGAGGCATCATTAATGATGTCAATGCCGACAATAAGGTCAGCAAATAAACATTATAAACATTAGCATGAAAATACAAAGTGCCCACGGCATGGTCAAGAGGGCGCCAGGCCGTGTCCAATCCTCCTCCCCCCCCAATTCTCTCGCCCCAAAATGTACTTTCTATTTTCCGGTTTTATTTGCATTTGATGGTTGATTGCTAATTGCCTGGCGAGGGGTTTAGCCCAAATGGATATTGGATTGAAGTAGCAAGTGCCTTTTTACTTTACACTAGCAACGCATTGCTGGGCTTTCCCGACGACACCATTCCCCCTGCTCGCTGCCACGCCCTGACACCAGCCAGGCACATGGTGAAAACGTCAAATGCTCTGGCATTTTCCCTTTTAAGCGCGCAATGTGTCGCCAAATGCTGGTGCTTGTTATCAAAGTTGTATACCTAACCACCATGCAAAAGCGAGTAGTCGAGTGAGACAACAACAATAGGCGAGCAGAACGACAATCCAATTGATAAAGCGCATAGAAATCAAACACCACCGAAAATCCATTGGAACAACACGAATCAAAACTTCGGCTCAAAACTGGTCGCACTTTCAATACCTTTTCTCAAACAAAGTTTGTAACGGAAAGCATTGAACACATGGTAACAAAACTCACTGAAACGTGTGGAATTGAAATATTCTTCTATATATATATTTCAATTTATTTAAGACATTTGCTTGTTAGACTTACAAAAAGATGGAGAAACAAAACCGCCTATCTAGAAGTAGAGTGGAATTGGGAATAGTAATTGAGATTCAAAAGCAACCTAGCAGCGAAATAGTCGAGCTGGAACTACCCAAAGAGATCTCAATTCCACGTGTTCCTAGTCGAGCAGAAACAAACGGAATTGAGATCTCTTTGGGTAGTTCCAGCCAACGAAACAACGGAACGCCCTAAACATGATAATTGCAAGTGGAACGCAAATCTCTTTGGACAAGTTGAGTACTTGATTACATTAGAAGGGAAAGCAGAGCTGAAATTCTGTTGTTGTCGCTGCATAACAATTGATAGAATACAAAGTACTTCAAAGCGAATAATTTCGCTGGCATTTCGCACTTGAAAACGCTTTGGATCGGAAATGGTTTTGCATAGTGATATAAAAACGAGCGCTTGAAAAAATATCAACAAAAAACAGAGAAAAAAAAAAAAGAAATGGGGAAAAGAAAACCCTCAAAAGTCGATGACAAAGTTGTGATAACCTTTTAGAAATAGGGCAACACAGGCGAGGCTCCGAATACAAAAGGAAAACGTAAAAAAGCGGAACGAAAAGCGTTTTTCAATTTCCAGCAGCAACGTGACCGAGTTTTCCACGTGCGATTCGATGCCAGCGAGCAACTGAGTGTTTCGAGTGGGTGTGAGTGAGTGGGTCAGTGAATGAGTGTGTGAGCATGTGAGCATGTGAGTGTATGTGAGTGTATGTGTGTGAGTGTGGTTGAACGCATTTAGATGATCGCATTAACAGCATTTCCCTCTATGCATTTTATTTCAATTCACTTCACTTGCCATTAAACACTTTTTTTCTCTTCTCCTTTTTACTTTGCACTTTTTCACATGCCGCTGTCCATTTTCGATTGGTTTCACTGTAGCCTGGCATATATATACTTATATACATATGTATGATTTACGGTCGGACCTTGGGCCGTCGCACTCACTGTAAGAAGTAACACCAAGCGGTTGAGAGGACGCTCTGATGATTACATTTTACAGCGGGCGTGACGTCATTCCAGCTTGTGACGTGTTGCACGTGTGTGTGTGTGTGTGTGTGTGTGTGTAAGTGTGTGTGTGTGTGTGTGTGTGTGTGGCATGTGCCCTCTGTCAGTTGCATGCCCCAGCCCTAATCATTAAGATTAAAAACTTAAAAGTAAATTTGCGATAGAAATCTATGCAAAGCAAAAACACAGAGAAGAGCCGCAAATAAAAAAAAGAAATTAAAAAAAAAAAATGCTGCTCATCTACGCGTAAGCACGAAATTTCTTTATTATTAATTTGAGAGCCTGCAAAAAATGAACAAAATAATGCCAGATAATAAAAGCGACGGAGATTAAAGCGCCAAAAAATCAAATAAGTGACAAGAGCATAAAATGAGCAAAAAAAAAAATAAAAAAGCGAAACAACAATTTAAATTTGAAGCGGATTTAAAACTTGGCTGCAACTCGGTTCCACAATGTCAGGGGCAGCAGGACAAGGGGTTACAGCTACAGCGAGTCCGCGATAAGGCAGTCAAAAGTCTGCTCGGTGTGAGGGGGGGGGGGGGGGCGGATGGCGGGGGTAGGGGGCTGGGTCGAGCATTTGGGGCCACGCTGGGCCCTTAACTGGCTGTTGGCGGTCAGCTCCGACATGCATTTGCATAAATGTCAACTAATTTTGTTGCCAACGCTGTTTGCGTTGTTTAATCAAAATGATGATAATGCTGACTACCAGCTCAGCACACACCTGCACACCCACACACACACACACACAAACACTCACACACACAATCTGCTGTCCAGGGGCACTTCAAAGCTAACAAACGAAGCGGCAAGGTTTGAGGTGTGTGTGGTTCAAAAAGATATATATATGTATATGGCAATTATGGTCAGCAGCAGCAGTAAAAAATATAAAAAACAATAAAGTTTTGTACAATTTGTTCGATTGATATTTATTAATATTCATTTCGATTATAGGCAAGCATATTCTGCATTGCACTCACTTAAATGAAATATCTTGCAATTTTAGAGTTTACAAATTCTCGATTAAATTTTCAAAGCCATATTTATCGATTCTAGTCCCAACTTTTGCGGGAACGTGTGGAATTCAGTTTTGATGAATTCAGTTCGAAGATGTAAATTTTAAAATTTGGAATTGATTTTGATGGAATTTTCATACATGTTATTATATCATGAAGCACGTTTAACAAAATCGAAAGCATTAAAAAAAAACATTTCTTATTTAATTAAAAAAAAGAG